AATACATTCTCTTACTCATCAAGAGTTCGAGCATATGCAACTTTATCGAGTAATTTTTTCGTAGTCTCTTTACCCGAAGTCCTCAATCCTAAACTTTGATATAGAAAAGTTCATTGTTAGGTGACGAAGACACCATGGGTGGTATTGGGAGCCAAAAATATCTCTAATACAGCTTATTAGGCTCGGATGCCTATCGGTTAAAATTGTCACAATGCGACCATCTAGAATCTTTTTCACCTTGCTCAAGAACCAATGCCAATCATCATCATTCATAGAAGAAACATAGCATACGCCAAAGGCTACAAGCCTTCATTAGCATCGAAACCTGTTGCACCAAGCATTTTGCTTTTATAATTGCCACTCAAGTAGCAAACATCAGTTGCTAATATGGGCCTGCGATAGTTGATGAAACCTCGTATGGAGCATCCATAAGTTACAAACATTTGCTTAAATCTCCTATCATCTGTGCACCCCCATGATGTAATTGTCCCGGTAATATATTTTATTATTCGTTCACACAACCAGGGGACTAAAATACAGCTATCGTCTGGATTACCCTCAATTATATGACGTGCATACTCCTTAGCTCTCCATGATTGCATGTAAGTCATGTCAACAGAAAATCCATTGCTTATGTCTGTGAAAATAGTCTTGGAAGTGAATTTAGAATTGTCCCTAACCTTGTTCACAATAGCTCGACCCATTTCCTTCGACCGAAAAATGGCTTAATTATCTTAAATGTCTTGAGCAATGTGAGTGTGAACATTATTAAACCGTTTGATTCTCACTATATCACTATTGCCTTCACAACCAGACAACAATTTCCATGGACAATTATTAACCTCGCACAAAACTCTATAATATTTTCTATTGTTATCCAAGTACTTGAATCAAAAAATGGTTACGAAGACTAAACAAAACGAGTGCATTTTTTAAATCATTTGGACTATCAAAAAGTTGATCCTCGCAAAGAATTTCATCAATGTGTCGGAAAGAATCCCGATGCGCATTTCTTTGAGGAAATGAAAACGTTGACGCAACACTGTGTAGAACAAGTGGACAAAAAAATATAGTAAAAATCGTATAACCTATATAGCGCATGCATTATATTACTTTATATATATGCGTCTTATCTCTCACTATGATCACTTGGAATTGTGCAAGATGCAATTACAGGCATTGCATCTTTCACATATACATTTGGCATGTGATCATTTACTAGAAGCATCACTTTAAATCCAGATTCTTTCATCATCCTCAAAAGTTCATTCTTCTTAGATTCTATGGTATAACATATGACTTTACCATTCATATTTGAAGATGAACATTCTGATAACTCATTTATAAATGATTCATACGTTATTGTTGTTGTTATCATAAAAGGGTCCATGACACCACCGATGTATGTAATTTCTCCATTCTCATTTTTGTCAATTTTTCCATCAAATCGAAAAAAAAACATGCAATTTGTCTCTCATCTATTTATCCAACTGGTTTTAAAATCGAGTCATTAGAGAGAAAAAAAAAAAAAAAAAAAGGACGAAGAAGAAGAAGTTCAAAAAAATAATGAAATAGAAAACAAATAAAGATCATAATTAAATAATGTAATTTAGAGACCTTAGCATGCAAACATTTAGAAGCAGAAAAGAAAATAAAATTACTTATAGTAGGTGTCTTGCTATCATATTGCCACATACCTTTCACTATTAAAGTCTTCAAAATCACATAACAGGCTTATAAATTAACTGATAATATGGCTCCAGTTTAAGGTGCAAAATTGATGAAATATCACATAATAAACCCTAGGTAATCAGATCGTAGACTAAGAGTTCGTTCACAATAAGATGTCTATTAGTGGCTGCAACCCAGTAAAAATTCCAAAAGTATTAACTGATAATATGGCTCCAGTTTAGGGTGCAAAATTAATGAAATATCACATAATAAACCCTAGGTAATCAGATCGTAGACTAAGAGTTCGTTCACAATAAGATGTCTATTAGTGGCTGCTACCCAGTAAAAATTCCAGAAGTGTGAAGTATGCATGTCAAAGGCATATATATACATCCAATAAGCATATCATTTATTTCAAATTTCAGATTACTATACATTTACACATAAGAACAGTTCAATTCTTACATGGTTGCTCCAAATGAACAACCTTCCCAGGCTTGAGTGCTATTTTAAAATCACCATATTATAGTAAGATATAGAAGCATCACATCAAACAATTCAACTAACCCAACCATATTCCTGTTTCTTTAATTTAGCGAGATACATCTGAGTTTCTATAAATAGCTGCTAACTTAAACACAGAGTTGCATAACTGATCAAGGTCAACATATTACATTAGTGTTGATGAATTATTATTTTAGGAAAGTGCCCTACTTCGTTTTTTTTTTTTTTAATAACAAGTTATTACAGTTTATCTCTTATTACTCGCAAAATAAAACAATCCTTATTACTAAGATCGTTCTAACAATTTTTGTTCTGATTTCCTACAATATTAAACATTCAAAACTCTTAATGAGATACGAATAGCTTGCTAGTAAGGAAAATGATTCCATAACGATCTCATTTATAAGTATAAAATTAAACTGTTACTCAACAACTTGTGAGGTGGACCTTACACACTACTCGTACCACTAATTCCAAAGTATTACTTTTCAGAAAAAATAGATCCAAGAAAAAAACTTGAAAGAGAATAAATGAGCACTCAAAACTGTAAACACCCTAGGGCATATGGCTTCCAAGTAAAATACAAGAATAAAAACTGTTTAGTCAATGGAATTTATTTTGGTTAATTTCAGTATAAAAGCTTGAGTCTGTAATTCCCCCCCCCCCCCCCCCCCCCCCCGGGCACCCTACACACACACATAAATGGAACAGTATAGTACAAGGCAAAAAATGAGGGCATACCCTCACAGCAGACACAAGAACCCTAACAACAGTAAGGACCTAGTTAGATTAAAAACTTTGGTCAACCCAAACATATATTTACCTTATTTGAAAATTAATTTCAAATATCAACAATTTGCATCTATAGAATGTCACATACCTAGAATAGAAGTTGTGAATTGAAAATTATATATGTAAATATGCTCATAAATTGGATTGAATATGCAATTTTGGATTGAATGTGCAAAATAGATGAAAAACCCAAAAGAAAACATATAAACCCATATGCGAATCACAGATAATGCACAGAAATTAGATGGAAAATTACCTCAAACCCTAGATTTGTTTTTGAGAGAGAGAGAGAGTGAAGGAGAAAGAGACAAACCTTAGGTCTAGCTTGATTCAAAACCGAATAGAGTCGATCATAGAGAAACGAAGTGGAGAAGACAGAGGAACGTGGTTGCTGCTTCGCTGGTTATATAGACAGAGAACGGGTTGGGCTTTGCTGTTACAGAGAAGCGGAGAGAGAGAGAGGGCGCACGAATGAGGGTTTATTGGCCATATATTGCTTAAATTGGATGAGTAAATAAAAAGGACAATAAGGTAAACGTATTGGAATAGGGAGAAGGGTATTTTAGGCAACACGATATTTTAAACAGTAAAAGTTCATGTGCCATGTCATCTTTTTAGTCAATCTCATTTTCATGAAAGTATGGGACTTTGACTCAACCACTTAGTAAATATGGAGCCCTAACCCCATTTATACGTAAAAATCCTAAATATATATACCTAATTGATATAAATAGATATGCCTTAATTGTGTGCGTGTATAATATATATGCAGTGTGTGCGTGTGTGTATATATATATATGGGGATTATGTTGATCGTAGTAGATAGCTCATAAACGAGTTATTGAGTCGAGTTCAAACTTGGCTAAATAAGGTCGAGCTTAGCTCGATCATGGTTTAGTCGGGCTAGATCGAGCTTGAACAATTACAAAAAAAGGGTTAAAATTACAAAACCTGTTGTACTTTCAAAATTGCATAAAATCTCCCCCCATAAATTAAAAAAAGTTATCAAGTTACCCTATATCAGACCCGTTAACTTGGTTTTGACTGACTTCTAGTAGCTTTAGGGAGGTAGCTAGGCGAAGGCCCAGCCATACGAATCAAACCGAACCCAAAAAGCGCGGCGGAAGAGTGAGTGACCATTTAATTTGTTGAATTGAATAAAATGCCTAAAGTAAAGGTACAGATTGAGTGAGAGAAGGGCATTATTGAAAGGACATCGTCTTTGTGCGGGAAGCTAGCAATGAGAAATGATAAAATTGATCTTATTATTTAATGTTAAATTAAAATATTGAAAAATTATTATTTTAAATTATAAAAATAATAAAGGCCCATTAAATAAAATAAAATTGCAAAATTGATCTTGCTATTTTTAAATTACAAAAATAATTTAAAAAATTATTATTATGATTTTAATTTAACATTAAATAGTAAGGTCAATTTTATCATTCCATAACTAAGTTAATAGATCAATCACTCATATGAGGACAACTTGATAACTTTTTTTAGTTCATGATTTTTATTTATTTTTAAATCTACTGGGATTTTTATGCATAATTTTGAAAATACATGGGGATTTTGTGATTTTAACACTTACAACAATAAGTTGAGCCGAGCCTGAGCACATCTAAGCTCTGCTTGCCTTAGCTCGGCTTATTTATAGTCCTAGAGATGTGTAAACGATTTCGGTCTTTTGTAAACGGGTTGTGTCTTTATAAACGGGACAATCCAACTTGATCTTTTACCCTGAAATTTCATAAAAGTGATTTCCAAAAATGTTGCCCAGAAGAATGGATTTTACAAATTTTTATATAAAAAAAGGTCAATTGGGTCATGATTTGTTGAACCAACTTGTTCTAACCCGACCCACAAAATTTTTATATGATTTGAAGGTTGAAATTTCATAAATATATAAAGAATTTTTAAAAAACTATTTGAAGAATAGCAATTAAAATGATGTATCAAGCGGTTTTGTCAATCTAGTACTTATACTTTCGTCCTACTTGAATAGCAATTAAAATGGTATTTGTATTTCTATTGCCAAGCCATTGAAACTGGTATATAGTAGTTTATAAAAGGGCTCGTTCTGGCAGCACTAACGGCTGCTCTGGCAATAGCTACATTCACCCCCAATTTCCCATAGATTATAAATCTAAAACCCTAAAAACCACACTACTTCTGTACCTTTCGCATTCCCGCTATTTTCTGTCAGGAGATTCTCAATCCTACTACTCCTAGGGTTTTCTCTGTCCTCTCTGTAACGATGATGTACGGTGATCAACATCATCACCATCTTCAGCAGCAGCAGCAACCACCACACCCGCAACATCCACCGCCGCCGCCGCCGCAGCAGCAGCAGCAGCAGCAGCATCAGCCAATGATGGGCGAGTATCCGAGGGGGCCGCAACAGCCACCGCCACCGCCGATGATGCGACAGCCCTCTGCTTCTTCTACCACTCTCAACGCACCAGAGTATCACCACCAGCCGCCTGCTCAACCCCCTTACGATGGTAATCTCTCTCCTCCTCCGTATTGTATTAATCACAATTTCACAATTTTGTTTGCTTTTCCTACATTCTAACGGCATGGTTATTTTTGGAGCAAATTCTAATGGGAATACATTTGTTGTGTTAATGTGAATGTACATTTAAAAATTTAATAAAATTGGTTCTTGGCTTGAACGCATTAACTTGTAGAACCTCTATGTGTATGTGATTTGAATACTTTAGAAGACAATGTAAATAGTTTATGTGATAAGATGGGACTGAGCGAACTTTAAACTTCATGCTGAATCTTATTGTTGAAGCCAGTTTTCAACAAAATCTGCTCCGTGGATCAAAATTTCCCACATAACAGGTAGATATTGAATGAGGGAAACTATAGGAAACTTTTGTTGAAGGATCATGAAATTATTTATCTTACACATTGGCCGTGATTTTCATGGCATATTTATAACACTTGGAATTTTTCCCTTGTTGTGATGATTTCTTGTGCATAAACCTTCTAGAGATGGTTGTTATATTCTTCCTACCGGGACTTTGCCTCAGCCACGATTTTGCAGTTACCCAAAGAATCAAATGGGGAATTCGGAGTTGTTGAATTGCTTATTTGGAGACAATCTTGTTTATGTATATGAAGTGTTTGATGAATTGTCTGTTAGGATTTCTTTTGAGGATTTGATGTAGTTTGGGGCTCGATATGTATCATGTTTTATATCTCATGTGTAGGAATTCTTGTGATGATACGTGTTATTCGTAATAAGGGCTATAACAATTTTGCGTTGCTACATTAAAAGTTTGAAACCCATTAACAGAAGCTGACCATGCACTCTCAACTACTTGCATGTATGTGGAATGCAACCCTTCCTCTTGCTTTCATTAAATGCCAGTTTTTTTTAATAAAAGATATGATAAATGGTACTTGTTACCTGATATGTTCCTTATTAGAGGCATATCGTTAACTTATGCAAGGTAAAGATTACATGTGATAAAAGATGGTAAGATTAGGACACAATCCAATCAATGTTTATTGGAAATATGAGGAAAAGGAAGCAGTAAATGTTTGATATTCAGATTTAGGAATGTCAATGCCGATGGATAAGAAAAATTGGCTGATGAATTCGATAGTCCATTTGACCCTATGCTGACTAACCATTGTACAAACTGATTGACATAATGATAGAAATTACTCTGAATTTGAGTATAATAGACAACCCAATCAAAGTCGGTTTGAAACTTTAGGAAGAAGAAACAGCAAATGCCAAATATAGAGATCTCGCAATAGCTGCTTTCATAAATAGCCATGGGTGACTGTCCCATGGTTAACTATAAAATTCAGTAGGTCACTAGATCTTATGCTTTAATTAATGTAATATAACCTGAGCCAGAGTTCTTAATAGTGTTGTTATTGTGGGTGTTAAAGGCAGTAGATTTACTGTGTGATACATATGAGGGAAGGAAGAGGTTGACATTTTTGAGTTGGTACATTCTCCTTGTATATATTGTATTTCACGTAATGCATTTCATCCTATGAGACTCCAGTGAACTTGCTAATTGTGTTTTCTATTTTTTTTTTCTTTCCTTCAAATGCATGTTAAAGCTCATGCAGACAGTTTTGCTGCAAAAAGAATGAGAAAGATTGGTCAAAGGAGGACCGTTGATTATACTAGCACCGTGGTGCGATTTATGCAGGTAATACCATGCCCTGCTTTAAATGTTTCTACAATTAGTTCTTGTAACATGTTGGTAAGAAGTGGCATATCTTTTGAAATCCTATATTTGTTTTTTGATGCTGCAAGTGCCATTTTAGACAATGCTATATTTTACTGGGTCTCCTTTATATTACATGGCTTCCACTGCTTCAGAAATTATATGAAATTTCTATTACATCCAGTTTTTTATTTATAAAAAGAAAAAGGATTTATCAAAAAAAAAAATGAAATAATATGAAATTTAGAGCTAATGAAAACCAGCCATTATAAATGTTTGATTTTCTAATATATATATATATATATATATATATATATATATATATATATTTTCAATGGTTAAAAAGAAAATAATAATGGTTTAGAAGTTCGACAAAGCATTTGTCTTTGTTCACTATAAAACATGTTAGGTGGGATTTTTGACCATGGCATTTAGATTTAAATTTCTAACTTAAGAATTGAGAATGCTTAAAATTTGCCTTGCCCCAAAAAATAAAAAAATTGCCTTTAATTGCAAATTTTTGTCTCCTTCTAGAGATTTAAGCATATGTACATATTCAATATAACTAGGAAAATACACGTGCTATGCATGTGGTGAAATAATAATTGATGAAGAATGTGAAAGAAAAAAAATGTCATATAGCAACATTTTATACAAACTCATGTGCTCAAGTGACTCATTCAACATTTAAATAAGCATATAAATTGAATTATACATAATTAAGTAGATGGAAACTCAACATTCTCCTATATTGAACTGTTTTCTTTTTATTTTTCTTTTGACACTATTTCTCATGTAGAAAAATAATAGAATATGGCTATTGATATTTGTTTGTACACACAAACACAATAAGAGGACCTTTGTAATTTTATTTTTATTTTCATGATAGATAAATCAAGTCCTGTAGCTCATAATTCACTGCATTTGTTATTACAACATCATTAAGCTATGCAAATATTAGTAAAACTAGCTAAATCTATATTTAGACTAAAAGACTTGATATTTTAATGGTTTTCTTGTCTTAATTTTCTTTTCTCAACTTTCTCACTTTCCAAGCAGAGCCCAGTACACAAAGTACAGAGCGAGAATTTTCGATAATCAAATTATATGACTATAATAAAGTCGAATAAAGGGGTGCAATCTCATTCGACTTTTGCCACAATGAGTTTGCTAAATTGGTACCTGTAATGATTATTGGCAAATGGGTTTGACTCCCTGTTCGTTAGTTTATCTAATTAGTTTGGTTTAATGATACCGACAAGCAATGCGCAACCTGATATGTGTTGTGCAAACATGTTATACATAATGCAATGTGGACTATTATTTAATTCTTATCTTTAATTTTTTTTGCTGTTGGGGCAACAGAGATTGTGGCTATCTGTGGACTTTTGCATCCTATTAGCATATGCATCTGCCACAACAAGAATTCAAAGTCCAATTGTCATTTCGGGATAAAAATGACCTCATATTGTCTCTGAGTGGTTTATTTCAGTTCATGTTATAAAATTATAATGCCTTGTGGAAAAATGAACTAATGCAATATCATCTCACTACCATTGGTTTGAGACATGCCTTAACCATCACCAAATGCCTATTGATCTTTGCCCTTTCCTTTGCTACTTCTTTGGTGAATGCGTTTTTGTCAGCGAGGATATTAAAAAAAGTACCTACTATAAAAAATATCAGCGAGGATATCAGAGAATCCTTCTTTCTGGGAATTTAATGTCTTTTTTCTAGGGTGAGCGGAAGGAGTACAGCGGGTCAATTTTTTAGGACATTTTGCCATTTCATTAGTTGAAAGAGATCTGTTATGTTTTTCTGTTTTTTCTTATAAGTATAACCATTGAAATAAACAAATGGTTAGTAGATCTTGATATGATGTTGTCCCAGCTTAGGGACTGGGTTGATGGATAGCTGGTTAGTTCTAGTGGTATCTTCTCTACTTTCCACGTGGATGAGGGTTTAAATCGCTGTAATGGGCAACTGTGGTTGTGTGCATGTATCTTACTTACCCAAAAAAGGACTTACCATATTGCGCAAAAGTTAAAATAAAATATTACTTTAAAAAAATTAATCCTATACTTTTGTTGAATGATGTAGAACTTCAAAAGTATAGTGTATGTCTTACATGCATATGTGCAAATTCTTTGATTTGTTACGTGTGTAAAATGCTTACATTTGCATGCATATATAATTCTTTTGATAATATTGCCTATACATGCTTGAATTATATGCTTTAATGTCATGTTACACGTACAGTGTGCTTTGAATTTTGTATTTGTAAACATAATGTTTTGATGCCTAAGGTGCTGTTGGATTACTCAATAAATTAAGGGCATTAAGTGAGCTTGATATGCAATGTGTGTATCACTTAAAAAATGGGTTTCACATAAAATGGGGTAAAATTTAAATCAAGGGAGATTTTACTTATCAAAGTAAGTGCGCAATTACAATTAGCACTTCAACCTGATCTTGAACTGGTACGGCCCGATCACAACGTCAAGTGAATTTACCTCCACCAGCTGCCTTATTTTTCTCTCAAAGGGAAAAGGGCTAGGCTTAGGTTCTCTCTTGCCACCGATAACGAGAAAGGAGAAAATTCGCCTAAAACCGGCCCTCCCGATGACTGATTGTTAACACATGATTGCCAAAACTGCCGGGTCAAATTGTTCATGGGCAACCTGGAATTTCTACTAAGGGCTATGGCAGGTTTTCATGATAAGTTATCTAATAAACATGAGAACTTTTGAAAAAGTAGACATGTCACAAGTGGCTCATCAGTCTTACCGTCTGGGGTGGTCTGTGTTAGATGGCAGTGGTTCTGAAGAATCAAGTATAAGCTGAAATTCTTTATTGTCAGGAATAAAATAAGAGTTTGAATCCTGACTTGCAGCAAAGACAAGCCAAAGTCAGTTTAATAGTCTTTTAAAACTTTAACAACTATCAATAATATTCCAATGTAAGTTTTTTGGCAAGCATCCATTAGAAAGTTATTGGTGCTGTTATTCCTACCATTTATTTATTTACTACATCCCCCACTTAGAAGCTGTTTATCTTCTTGTGTCTACAATTGATGGTTATTTCTATTTGGAACTTCTTTCATCAATCATTACATGTTAAAGCTATTCATTTTTTTTTTTTAATTAGAAAATGATATTGAATATTTGCTCTTTCCATTGGTATCTTCTAATATCTTATTATAGTCCTTTTCTGGCAATCGGAGAAAAATATGCATTCATTTCTATTTTCATTCTGATTTTTAATTTTTAGATGCATCCACTTTTCTTTAATTTTTTTGTTTTTGGTCTTGTAATCTTGTGAGTATTCTTGGGGGTAACTTGAAATCTTGACAATCTTGTATCAATATTTTTCTGCAGATTCGTATGTGGCAGCGGGATGCAAGGGACAGGACAGTATTGCAACCTACTCCAGCAGCAGCAATTGATGTTAGTTAACACCATTATATTCAATTTTATTTTGTATAGAACATGACAATGTTTTAGTTTTAATAAAACATTTTCTTCTCTTGTACATGGATCCTTTTATGGCTGGAAACTGCAATTAGAGTACTTCCTCTGTCCAATATTAGATGTCCCTTTTTGGGAGTATATTTGTAATGGGACATTTAATTATTGCATTGTCTCCTTTGAAAATTACTAAGTTACCCTTTCAAGTTTGAATATATATATCATGAAGTTTGAATTTTTTTAAAAGTTTTAGGGTATTTTATTGAAAGATGTGAAATGTGTTGTTTGAATTTGGAGTGCGGACAAGTATTTTGGGACAACCCAAAAAAGAAAGATGGACAACTAAATTGGGACGGAGGGAGTAGTATTTTAATCACTTCCATTGATCAGCTTCGCGATTCTTTGTATCTTTGAGGACTTAGTTTCTCTCTTTTATGTTGATCATATGTGCAGATGTTGCCAGCGGTTGCCTATTCAGATAATCCTTCTACAAGCTTTGCCACAAAGTTTGTTCATACATCGCTAAACAAAAATCGTTGTTCGATTAATCGGGTTTTGGTGAGTTAGATTAAAATTTTAAGACCAATGTATATGCATGTGTGTGTGTATTGTTTTTCTTGTATTCTGTTCTAGTCCCCCGCCTGCTTAATCTTCCAAGTTGTTTCTACCATGGCCTGCCTCATTCAAGTGCTTGTGTGTGTATCTGGAGTTTTTATTTATTTATTTCTTTATTCGTAGTATGACTTAATTTGCCAAATTTAGCCATGACATGGATGCATATTAGTGATTGTTTTGGAAAAAATTTGAATATGCCATTTTGCATATTAGAGTAATAGAACAGTTGGGAAGGGCAGTGGGATGGTAAAAAGTCATGCCTCTAACCTGATTTACTCTTCTCAAGGTTGCTATATGTGACTTATCTGTTGGTAGGCTTCATATCCAAGAAAGAGGACTACCAATGATCAACGCAAACCACATGATTAACTCTCTACCAAATTCAATAAAAATTAATTGTTGTTATGCTGTTTGGTTATTTAAACCCATGACATCGTGTGACCAAATAGGAAGTTTTTACTACTGACATAACATGACTTTGAATGAGACCAATTTCATGGTAGGTGGGAATATTTCTTGAATCGTAACTTTGTGGTTGATCGATTGATTGTTGTACTGTTGTACCATATACATGATTTTGATATGTCTTTAAATTGAGCTATGGCAAATAGTTATTAAAGTAATTAGCCTGGTGATGCACTATCCCTTTCATTTAACTTAGTTTTATTTCATAAAATATTTGAAATAAATTAATATCACATCAATATTTAAGTTAATTTTTCCAGTTGGCACTACTGTTGCATTTTGTGGAGAGAGAGCTGGGCAAAAACCCGCTGTGGGGGTTTCAAGATTGTTATAAGGAATGAAATAGTTCAATAACTCAACCCCTTGTGGGTTTTCAATAATGATAAGTTTGAGTGTTTGGGTATTCATTTTTATCAATTTACAGTCTGATCTTTGTGGTTAGTTTTTGCTACTATGTATGAGAAACATTATATTTCTACATTTTCATGTAGTATTTGTTACTGTGGAAATTATTTCAGGGCATGCCTTAATCTGATTTCTATTATTCTAACGTGTGCTATCTTGTCTTTGTTAAAACAAAGTGGACTCCCTCTGGGAGGCGTCTTATTACAGGCTCTCAAAGTGGGGAATTCACTCTTTGGAATGGTCAGTCATTTAATTTTGAAATGATTCTGCAGGTATGCAGTACCACATGGTACCTTCTTCATTTCTTCAATACTGAGAATTTAAATTGTTATATGTTAGAATATGTATCAATTTGCAGGCTCATGATCAAGCAATCAGGTCTATGGTTTGGAGTTACAATGAGAACTGGATGGTCACTGGTGATGATGGGGGCTCAATAAAGTAAAAATGATTCTATATATTTTTGGTCAACTTTATTTAGCATTTCCTTTTGTTTTGATTAGCAAATCAATTTATTTTAATAATGTGTGTATGGCGGCAATTGGTAGGTACTGGCAAAACAACATGAATAATGTGAAGGCCAATAAAACCGCTCATAAAGAATCAGTCCGTGACTTAAGGTAAATATTATTATTTCTGATGGAAGTGGCTTAAGGGTGCATATTTAGATCCTTTTGTGAACTTACTCCACGAAGCATTTCATATATAAATATAAATTTTCTGAACAGCTTCTGTAGGACAGATTTGAAATTTTGTTCTTGCTCCGATGATACTACTGTAAAGGTTTGGGACTTCGCTCGGTGTCAAGAAGAGCGCTCATTGGCTGGTAATGTTCCCTGAATAGTCAAATTGGTTTGAGAATAAATTTGTTTCCCCTAATCTCTATTGGTACCTGATACCAACAATGTTATTCAGAATTTACATGTCATATTTTTCTTTTTTATTTATTTTTAATTTTTATTTTAAACTCAGATAAATATGGAACACAAAGGGTTGGTTGTGTTTGGTTTCTTTGTCAATGTTATAGTGTAATTGACTTGGCAATTCTAAATATGGTTTCAGTATGTGTCAGTGGAAATATGTCAACATATGCATAGTTATCTCAGTTGGTTGAGGTTCAGTTGGCTTCTTAATTTCCTTTTTTCAATTCAAATTTATCTCTCTTTCTCTCTTATTTATTTATTTATTTGTTATTATCATTATATTCTTTTTTGGGGTGGCGGGGGATATAGGGATTGTTTACTCGTGCCATCGTATTTCCTTATGTAATTGTTATATTCACTAAGCATTTTACGTACTAAATTGAATTAGTACAATATTTCATGGATCAAGAAATTGGTTTCAAACAAATAAATGAGTGCGTCTCTGGCAACAACTTCTTGGGCAGTTCTGTGAGGCTAATAGCTTTATGGGTTGGAAATTGGAACTCAACCAGAAATACTGTGAAAAAAAATATTGTAATCATACAATGGTAAAGGTTTATGTGATTCCAACTTTGTGGGGTCTATTTGTGGAGACTGTTAGCTTGTCAGGTTGCTTTTCTAATTCCCCCTCAATCAACAATCTGGATCACATGATCTAAAAAACGGTACACTTTCATTCTACAATGCTCATAACCACTCTCGACATAAATGACTGAGTCCATGTAACATAGGAATTTGCCAAATTGAAGTTTTCTTATTTCTGGAACTACTCTCTCTATGCAAGGCTAAATAGAATGTGTACATTGATGGCAGATAAGACATATTACATCGTCAATCCCTGGGCTAAATGGAGCAATAGTCATAACACATTGATTGCGAATAAGATATCATTTTGTTGATCTCTGGGCTAAATGGAGCGATAATCGTAACACATTAAAGGAGCTACCCAAAATAGGATATACATATGTTTTTTTGTCCTTGCATGGTTAATTTAAACAGAAAATGCATCCGTAAAAAATAATACAATTATATTTTGAAAGGAAGTTTGATATATCATAGTTCGGATGAAAACGTTTTCAAAATAACATGTTATGTATTTATAACTACCTATTTTATTCTGACTCCTGAAAATATATTCTATTTGTGCTGCATGAGCCTACACTTTTTTTACGTTCAATGGTAAGTGGTTTACCTTCTGGTAAAGTTCTGCATACCACATTGTATCACTTCCTAAAAACACCTAGTTTGATTTAATAGTATGGAGCTTCTTGTATAGAACTTGAAGGAGATTCTTGCAAGCTTTTTATATATTGGTGTGGGTGGTCCGTAGGATTTTAAGAGGGTATACTTCTTCTGGGGATTTTCTTTTTTAAGAAGTGTATGTTTTTGTTATATGCTTGGTGAGCTTATTATTATTTTTTGATAAGTAAGAAAGATTTCATAAAAGACGCTCAAAAGGGGGGTGCTCCCACAGGATACAAAAGCCGTCCAGGAAGACACTATAACTTTAAGCTATTCACAAAGTCCAAAAGACAATCCATAGAATTACAATCCCACCCATTGACCCAAAAGAATAAAGAAGACAGAATATTGTATTTAAGAGACCAAATAGGAGACTCCTCTCCCTCAAAGGATCTCCTATTCCTCTCGCGACACAGCCCCCACCAAATACAAGGGGGAGTAGTCCTCCAAGTAGCTTTGACTCGTTTCTCCACTATACACCCTTTCCAAGCCTCTAACATGTCCACTGTGGATTTTGGAAAAACCCATGGTAGACCATAAGCCACCAAAAACATTGACCAAACATCTCTTGCCACCGAGCAATGAAGGAGAAGATGGTTCACAGATTCACCTGACTTCTTACACACGCAGCACCAGTTAACCATAATCTGACGTTTCCTTCTAAGGTTGTTAATAGTAAGGATACTTCCCAGGGCAGTAGTCCGCGAAAAGAATGCCACTTTCAAGGGAGCTTTCGTCCTTCAGATGGCTTTCCAAGGGAAAGTGAGGCCAGGAAGCTCAAACACCCCTTTGGAGGTGGCAAGGTGCCCATCCACACCATCTCGTCCATGCCCACCCCAACCACCACCTGGCAATAAATAAGGCTAGGAAGTCTGTAACCTCCAAAAGTTTCCAGTCATGGAACTGTCTACGGAGCTGCACATCCCAAGTCACCCTCCCATTATCGAGTCAATAATAGTCAACAACCACAGCATGCCTATTCACAGCAATCCTGAAACTTTTCTTTTTAATAATTCTTCCGGCTTATTTCTTCAAAAGTGAATAAAATATCATTGTCATAATAAAGTTACATGTAGCATGTTAGTATTTTACTCTTTCTTAACTTGTCCTTTCCCTTTTGGCGTAAATTATAATCTTTGGTTATACAAGAAAGTCACTATTGTATATAAAATTTTGTTACTCAAATCTTTTACAAATTGAGGGAGTTGATAGCGGCCTTTATTAGTTTTACAATGGCTAAAGTGTGAATCAGCTAACCTAAGGGTCCATGATATGTGGTTTGTACTCAGGCAGGCCATGGTTGGGATGTGAAAAGTGTTGACTGGCATCCTACAAAGTCTTTACTAGTTTCAGGTGTGTGGTTCTGCGTCTATTTTGTTAGCTTCTTTTCTAATAAGTTGTCAGTGCCATACTTATTGCTACTTGCATTGGTCGCCTTAGGTGGGAAAGACAACCTTGTGAAACTTTGGGATGCAAAGTCTGGGAGAGAGCTTTCTTCATTGTTAGTACAAAACTTCAACTTTTCAAACTTGTAGTTTCCTTTTTGTTATTTTAACCTTTTTAACAAGTTATTCTGCTGCTTGCAGTCATGGGCACAAGAATACTGTTCTTTGCGTCAAATGGAATCAGAATGGTAACTGGGTGCTCACTGCTTCAAAGGATCAAATCATCAAGGTGGGCAACTTAATGCCTTCCTTTCAATCTGTCATTCAAATTGAAACTGTTTATTCTATATGTTCATGGTATTCACTGCATGTTCAGCTTTATGACATAAGGGCTATGAAGGAGCTTGAATCTTTTCGTGGGCACCGGAAGGATGTGACTGGTTTGTGATATCTTATTAACAATTGTGCTTTATTTGAGATGGAGACTGTAGATAAATATGTAGTTTTAATTTATTGTTCATATTGAATTGTGTTTCAAGGTAATGGATCAAATTTGATATGCAGTTTGGATAGAGGAATTTAAGATCGCTGCATTCATTCTTTCCTTTCTTGCATTCTAGTCACACCATACACCTTAAAATATTATTGATGTAATAATTAATTTGCTGATTGCAAACTTTCTAAGATATTTGATGTATGGACTTTATCCTTCTACAAACTTTAATACAAGTAACCATTATTTCTCAAACGAAGAAAAAAACAAGAAATATAAAGGAAATTGATACAGGAAAGAATTCAAAATGGCTAAATCTCTTTATTTTTTGGTAAATCAAATTCGGTTCCAACTAAAAACTACTGTTTCCATCATTCAGAAATGCACATTTATGGTCTATAACATTGTGAAAGCAAGAGAAAAAAACTGACAAGGGAACAGTAACAGCATATTCCAATCTACTTGGTTTGATATGGTAGGGACTGCATCCTAGAGCAAGGATAAATAGAGCGCCTCTGTTAAAAAGTGAAGAATGAATCAATCTGATGGGCTTGTAAACTATATATAAACCCAGACTCATACTTGATTACAATTTCCAACATTGGTTGGCCTACAATAGGACTTTTATAGTTAATAAAATTAATTATCATAGAGTTGATATACCATAGAATCCAAAAGATGATGCCAACATTACAACCTATAATGTAGCTTGCTTTGGCACATAGAACAGAGCAGGTGTGCTACATGTAGCCCAAAAAGTGCGTCAAGGAACTTCCGAAAGGAATAGCTTTCTTTTTATATATATTTCATCAGCAAATTTCTCATGTTTCCCCTTTATATATAATTCAATCTTGGTAATGTGTGGACCAAAATTACAAAGTCACTTGTATATGCCGGATCTTATTCCGCTATGATTTTGTTTCTGAATTCTTTTGAAAGGAATAGCTTTCTTTCTATGTATATTTCATCAGCAATTTCTCATGTTTTCCCTTCGTATATAGTTCGATCTTGGTAATGTGCGGACCAAAATTACAAAGTCACTTGTTTATGCCGGATCTAATTCTGCTATGATTTTGTTTCCAGATTCTGATACTTATGTTACCTTTTATTTTTAGCATTGGCATGGCATCCATTCCATGAAGAATATTTTGTGAGTGGTAGTTTTGATGGATCAATTTTCCATTGGCTAGTCGGGTAATTTCTCTTTCTGATTCAATTGGCTTTGTTTACTTTGGTGCAACATATTAGAAGTATTTCCTATTTCATTTAATAAATTTCATATTACACATTGCATCTTGTTCCACTTAAGCAGCTGTTGAAATTATTATTTACCATTATGCACCAAAAAGAAATAAAACACACACACACACAGACACACACACACTGATTGGTATCTTTATTTCTCATTCTTTCTCATTCAAATCTATATCCGTAGAATCCAGTATATCATAAAAATGAAATTGGTTGAAGTTTATTGTATAGAACCTTTCAACGAGACAGTGTTTTTTCAACTCTCTCATAATGGAGTTTATTCCAAACATATATGCCATGGTTCCTTATTTCGACAGGGTACAAATATCTAAATTTGATATTTTTATATACTTTTTCAGACCTATTGCTGATACTAAGTAGTAGTCAAAAATTTGTATCCATTTTTCATGATATTATGCATGGATCATGGCGAATTCTTCAGAAAAAGAAAAGAAAAAAAATTAAAGAAAACATTGCATTTTTTATGTTGGGTTCTCTGTTATTCATTTTGACCACTAAATGATATTCTACTGCACAGGCATGAAAATCCCCAGGTTGAAATTCCCAATGCTCATGATAATAGTGTTTGGGATCTTGCATGGCATCCCATTGGATACATTCTTTGCAGGTAAATTAGTCTTCTTAATCTCTATGATAAATTTTCTATTTTTAAGAAAAAAAACTTGTTGAGTTATTGCTTTATACAATTTTATAAGTAAATGTTATTTTGTGATCGCCTACTTTGTTAACTGGTCACTTTACCGTTTAATTTATGAACTCGCCCCTAGTTTGTGTTAATGCTACAATCTTGCTATTGTTTTGAAGCTAGTTAACTAAATTTTAATAGGTAAAGTTTGCTGCCTTGCATTGAGTAGCAAGAACAAAACTGCTGCCCATTTTTGTGTATCTGTGTTTTTCTTTTTATTTATTTATTTTTCTGAAGTTCTGTTCATCATTATCATAACCTGAAAAAGAAAGAGTTGGAAAAATTGATATGTAAGAACCCATGACCAAGAGAACTCACCAATAAGCTCTTGCGTTTTTAGTACGAGTCTGGTCCAGTTAAGTGTGAGGTTCTGTGTCCAAGTCTTCGGATGGAGTTGTTTTATGAATAGAAGAACAGAAACTTTTGGGATTATATAATGATCGTATTACAACCTATATTATTTTGCCAGCCATTAGCTGTTGGGAGATGTGGATATCTTCTGCCTCCATCATCTGATTTGTTTATCACCTTGGTGACCTAATTTCCACCTTTCTTATGCATGAGTGGGATTAAATATAATCAGTGGTCACTGGTTGAGGTGACGATACTGATACATAGGTGCTTCATTTTTATCTCTACATGCCAGGTACAAGTATACAACCTATATACTTTTGGGTTTACTCCGCTTTTGGGCACTTTTAATGATATCTTACTCATCAAAAAAAAGAAACATAAAATCAGTGTTTTTTGCTTCGGACTATGCATTGTAGCGAAGCAAAACATGGAAGCGTGCTTGGTAACATTTGCTGCGATTTGAATAGTATCAAAACGTTTCCAAAAAAGAGGCCAAACCTGGAAGCACCAAATTGGTGTTTCCGGTTGCTTCCGCACTATAGCAAAACAATGTAATGATGAACAGTTCCCCCCACCCACACCCACACCCAAAACACCCACATACATACACACAAAAAATTACCTCTTAAATGACCTTTTAAACTAGCCATTTTATTTTTCAAACTTGCAACACTTCTTTACCAAGACATGTTTTCATGAGCAAAAATCTTGCAACAAATATAATGTTACCAAACACGCTTCCAATTACTATTGAACACACTCCACAACAGAAATGTTATTTCTGTTTCGGGTCAAAACAAAAACACGAAGCAACAGCGGCTGCCAAACACGGCCTTAGTTAACATGTCATTGAGCACTATAAAAATACAAGAAATCTATTTTATACTTTTTAACAATTTCTTTTCTTTCTGAAATATATCCCATCCACATGTCCTTGGTTCCTTTCTTTAGAGGTTTCTAATAAGCTGAGACTTGATGCCCTTGGCACCTTGACATTTCCTGTCTTGTTTCATAGCATTTCCTCATTTCATCCATCTTCTTTTATCTTAGTTTTTGGTTGGCTCAAAGTTATGTTTGTTTGCAAAGAAATCCAACTTTCCAGCATAGTTTGGTCTGTCTTTTGTTTCCTATTCATTTATTTATTTATTTTTAAATTCCCTTTGGAGTACAATTAACTTCATGGCACACGCTGAATTTAAAGTAAATGTTGGTTTGATTGTGATTAAAGAGTATACATGATTAAAAACTATATCTTCTCCCTAAGATTCCTCGAGGAATTTTATTTTGTTTGAGAAATCAGTCAACTTAAAGCCTGCTGGATATTGATTTCATTTCTTTTTCTCCCCTTCTTTGTGTAGCTACCTTAGAGCTGTAGTCTTATAGGCTGTGTACCTTCTTGCATCTCAAGAAGGATTCTCTGCCTGCTTCTATTTGATGACCTTTCGTCCTTATACACATGCATATGTGTGCACTCACATGGTCACACATAGGGCATCAACCTGAAAAATGGTGTGCACATTAGTTTTTTTGAGTTTGAATTGGGGTGTCAAAAGATCGGATAATGAAATTTGATTTCCTTCATTGACCAAGTGATTATGATTACATATTGGACTTGAAGATCCCTCTGTAGGGAGCATCAAGTCTACGTTCTGTCTTATTCACATTTTATACTTCTCCCTCACGACAGTTGTTCCAATGTTGATCCAGGTTGCATCGTGTTAGGAGCAAAAATGCCCATGCTATAGCAAGAATAAGATTTTTTTCTTTTCTTCTATATTTTTTTTGGCGTCGTTATTTAACAGTTAATGATGATGAAGTTTCAATCAAGGACAGAGCCGCTGACATGGTTGTGGTATAACGAACAGGGGGTATTCGAGGGTTGCATTTCAATCATAGTCATTACATCGTGAATTTTTGTTTTTTGACCTCTCATGTCTTGGTTCAGTGCACTTTGATACCCAACTTTTAACTTCACAATCCTATGAACATGGATTTTAATAATTTTTATTAAATTTTGTTGAATGCTAAAGGTGATTTAATATGATTAATGGCCTCTATATAGAATTCTCAAGTCTCAGCAATAAAAACTTACTAATTTGTACTTTTTACTAAATTTATTGTCACAATTGCACTTACGTATATATGAAGAGTTACCAAATAAAAACTCACCGAGACATTGTTCTAGCATATCAATGTCATAAATGGGAGAAACAAAACCCTAGCATACATAAACCAGCTAAACTTTCTCATTTATGTCAGATTTAATTGGAAAAGCGGAAAACAGTTAAAAAGAAAAGAAAAGAAAAAAGAAAAAAAAAAAAAAAAACTTAAAAGCTTACACAGATTATTCCAAGTATCGGAAGGTTTTGATTCAAGATTTGGGCTCACAGCTTGTGAATCTTAAGCATTGGACGTTAGATCATACCTTTAGACTGTTTGGTGGGAGTGTAACGGTTTGAAGAAGGAAGACAGAAAAGTGAGGGAGAAATTAGGGTTTTAAACCCTAGGTGCAACATTGCCATTAGTGCGCTTTATTGGCTGAGACTCTGAGTTTCACTTGAAAAAGAGTTGCACTGATATATCGTTGGGACTTGATATCGTCTCTGGCCGAGTCTGTTATGACTAGGCTGATACATTGTGACTCCGTCGAATCTTGAAAAGTTGGTATCAACAGCAACAGATTTTATTACCATTGCCAATTACATTTTTCATTAGCGGCATAAGTGGAGCAGCATTGCATTCTAGTTTTTCTGTTCTTTTGGCTGTTTATAGCATCCTTGCAGTCCTGCAGGTTGTCCCTTTCCCTAGAGAATTTTTAGTTTGTATTTTGAATCAGATGTACTATTTTGGCTCTACTATGTATGGAATAGGAAAGTGTTTGGAGTGGTCTATTTTTCTTAGCGTCTATATAGATTAGGCCACTGAAACTGTATTGTTCTCGTGCAGCGGTAGCAATGATCACACAACAAAGTTTTGGTGCAGAAATAGGCCTGGGGATCCATCTCGCGATAAATTTAACATGGGCCACATCCAAGGTTTTTATTATTTCGTTGTGTTATTAGTTTTCTTTTTTTATTTTTCCGTCTCCATAAAGCTGTCAAGTTTAAATTTTCTGCAGCTCCAACTTGTAGGATTCTGTAGACCTGTGGAGTCTTAAGCACAGTATTCTGTTTCATGGAAAACTTGGTGTAATTTATATAAATGAGCTGGATCCGTTTTCCTCTTGTTTTTTGCATGCATCAGTGTACCCCTTGCAGTACTACCTGCATGTTACATTGCAAAGAGTGTTGAAAATGAGCTTCTGAACTGAGACAAATAAGCAGAATAATAGTGAACTTCTTTCATTTTATAAGCTGTTTTTCTTGTTACCAGGTTATGGTGAGCAAAACCCTGCTCTTGCTGGTCGCATGCCTGGTAATTTCCCCGGACCAGAGACCCCTACAACTCCTGGACCATTTGCAGCTGGGTTGACACGAAATGAGGGAACCATTCCGGGTGTTGGAGTTGCAATGCCTTTATCTATTCCATCTCTTGATTCATCAGCCCAGGGAGAGCAGAAGCCGTTTCTACAAGTCTCAATGCCTTCAGGAGCACCTCCTCTCCCGCCTGGTCCACATCCATCTCTTCTCGTTGCCAATCAACAGCAAGCATATCAACAAAATGCTCAGCAAGTCCAACAACAGCACCAGGCACTCCCACAGCAAATGTCCTCAATGCCTCTGCCACCTCAAAATTTGCCACAGCTACAACCACCATCCCATTTACCCCTGCTTCCACATCCTCATTTACCCCGCCCTCCGCCCCAGCTACCCCCACATGGTATGCCTTCAAGCATGCCATCTTCAGTGCCTGGATCTATGCCTTCATCAATGCCCACTTCACTTCAAATGCAGATGCCTGGTCCAATGGTACTAATTTGCTTTTAATTCTACTTGTATCAATTTTTCATAGTGCTATTCACTTGGTTGGGTGTCAATTCTAGTATCTCGTTTTACATTTTCTTTTCCCCCACATAGGGCCAGACTGATAATTTTAGAAAACACATGTTTGGAGATTCAGTTGCAATATTTCACGGTGATATTAAGGGCATATCCCTTGATATTATGCTGCTGCAAGCTGTGTCTGGAATACCATGACAAATTGGAGATGAACCTTGGGCTATCACACCTCAGACAATCTCCATATTACAGCTTGCACAGTTTTCTTTGTGCAAAGGTGACAAGGGATATGCTTGACATTCATGGCTGGGATGGTTGCTTTATTGGAACCTTAGTAATTCTTGTAGGTTTTTCATGGAATGACAGGCACATCCACCCGTGTTTTTTATTGATTAGGAACCGAACTGTAAAAGGAACTGGAAGAAACCCTTTCCCATCTTTCTTGGATAAACGATATTTATTAACCGCTATTGACATATATATATATATATATATATATATATATATATATTTCTCTTCACTTTCAGGGGATGCAAAGTACAATGAATCAGATGATTCGTCCATTGCCGCAGGGCCATTTTATGGGCATGAATCCCATGCACTCGGGATCCCTACCTCATGGTGGTGGTCCTCAAGTTGGAGGAATTCCAAATGGATTGCCAAATATGCAGGGCCCTTCAAATGCAAGTGGGAACCAAATGTATCCGCCAGGGGGTGCTTTCAACCGGCCACAAGGTGGACAGATGCCGTCAATGCCAGGACTTAATCCTTACCAGGTGAGATAATTTTTTTTATATGTAATTAAATTACTTAACAGAATCCGCAAGTACGAGGGTTCAGTTGTTGGGCACTACCAATTCCATACTTATATGGTGACTGGACTAGTTTGCATCATGTTTAACACTATGTTTTTATTTATGTCCGCAATTCATTAGATTGTTTTCTTTGTGGAATTTTTATTTTTATTATGTATCATGTATATTTCATGTGCATGGGCTTGTTTTGTCTGTGCTAGCAGTTTCAAAACTATGTGTTTTCTTGTCAGTGATACTTGCCAGTATGAATATTATCTACATCCTTTTCACTGAGCTTCCATTGTTGGCAGTGTTGAATATATTATATTGGTGCATATACAGAACTATTTTATCAATTTTTACATTTTATTTCATGGTTGCGTTTGCAACTACATTTATTCAGCTGAAGCTAATGGGTCATAATGTTTCTTGTTGCAGTCTGGGAATCCAAATGCCACTGGCATGGGGACAATGCCATCAAATTTCGGTCTTCCATCTGGGGTTCCGCCCCCGCTCCCTCCAGGTCCCCCACCACATGGCCAAACACAGCAGTAGAGACCATGTATATTAGTTCCCCCCTCTCCCCCCTCCTGTTCATCCTAGGTGGAAAATTCTTTACTCAGTTGTTTTGCTTGTGCAACTTATTTTAAAAACTAAGCAGCTTTCATTTTTTGTCTTTATATATCAAAATGTTGCATATTGTGATGTGGATATGTTTCTTTGTTGACTGGTTATGTGTATGAAATTAGAATTTACTTTGAAATTCAGAAATCTCAATTCTACAAATGTAATTTCAAAAAGTTGATTTGAGATTTCCGAATTCACTTGAAATTCAATACTCTCAGTCTTTTCATGCTCTCTTTCTTTCTTTAAATCAGGCTCTCTCTAAACTGCCGATTCCACGGTGAATCGATACGTGCTTTCCACTACGAGTATACACTCTAATGGGAAGTACCATAGGACATTATGAAACTTGATGATGTTTGGATGAAACCTTTTTTGATTTCCTAATTATATGAATTGATATTCTTTGCTTGCTTGTCTATCCTTTTCTCTTACATTATGCTCATATCTTATTTGCTGATACAAAGCCCTTGAAATCATGCATGTTCAATTTTTAAATGGCATTCATTATGCTTTGTTAGAGCATCCCTTCTCTAGAGTTGCTCCTTCCCTTCCCTTCCATCTATTTTTCTTTTCCTTCTATCAGGGGGTGCATTAATTACGGATATATGGTAGACGTGGAAAAGTTTACATACTTCTAACCAAATGATAATAAAATAAACTTAAAATCGAAATGACTTAAATGCCTCCCTACGATACAATGAATTCACACCATCTCAATTTTTGTTGTGATTGAGAACCCTAAAATGAAATAGGATTTACTTCTGACAATAACAAAGATCAAGAAATTTTTTTTTTCCCCAATCACACCACCTATCACCTATTCATAAAGTATGGAGAAAGAAAAGAAAAGAAAAGAATATCCCTTGGTTGAAGGTAACAAAATTGTTAAACAAAGAAAAAAGAAGATAAATGAGAGGCAGGGGCTGGATTCTCAGCAGAGTAGGGGACTAGAAGTGTCCCCCAAAAGTATACTCTCTCCTTGTACAAAAGGTGAGTGGGTGGATGGTCCCACTCTCCAATTAATATTGGGAATTTTTCCCTATGCCCCTAATGTCTCCACACAAGCATACATACACGTGTAAGACCACCCAATTAAAATTCTAAGTGCACCACATGAAAATAAAATAATACTAAGTCATAAAATTTTCCAAACACGGAAACCAACCAGGGCTACACGAAAACCTCCTATAGTTCCATGGTCATAAATTCAAGAAATTATTTGATATTTGGTGGACTAATTCAATGAAAATCCTCCTATCATAAAACTTTGTAATGTATTAATACAGTCTTGTAAGGCCATTTTTTCAATCCAAGAGTTTATATATAACTAGTCCACCAAGTGTTAATGGACCAGGACCATCTAATAATTTCTTCACAAATCCGAAATGAGTGAAAAAATCCCTACATGAATCTCAAAAATTTATGACACGTATCTCCACACACATACAAATATAAAATACACAAAATATGAAAAACGCAAAGAAAAAAAAAGAAGGAAGAAGATTGGGCCTCACATAGATCTGTAATCCAAACCCAACTATTAAATGTTAAAAAGTTAGATAGAACCCAATATCAAACCTGACTTACAATCCAAAGAGCCTAACCTGAGATCAACACGACCATGTTGGTTGGATTGATAGGACTGATCGGTTTAGGTTTATAAAATATATTTTTTTCAACTAAAAGAATTAAAAAAATGAATAACAAAAAAAAAAAAAAGAAAAAAGAAAAAAAAAGAAGAGGAGTGTGAGTATTGTAATCAAATATAAAGAGTTTGTTGCCCAACTTGAATTAAGATTAAAACTTTCGACCAAGCCCAACCCTTCACTCTTAAAGAACCCGCCCAAGTTGCAGTCCTTGGACCGGCTGAGGAGAGGAGCCGAGTCCCTCCAAATTGTTTCCAGTTCTAAATGAAGCCCACTGGCCCATAAATCTTTTTATGCCCCTTCTAGGACACCGTCTCTCTCACACATACTCTCACAGTGAAGAACACACTGAGCTTCGAATCAGAGGAAGCCTTCGACAAACCATCACTAGATGTAAGACGATTACAGTTTTCTCTCTCCGCTCTCTCTCTCGCTCTCTAACAATGTATGTATGTATATATTTCTATATAACACTGGAATCTCAGATCGGACTAATTTGAAAATCTCTCTTAGTGAACCAAGACACTGAGTTTCGATTCAGAGGAAGCCTGCGGGAAGCCATTACTTTACATTATCAAGACACTGACTGGGACAGCGTTGTCTCTAACACATTGGGCTTTTGCTCAATATGAGTCCATTGGTGGGCCGGTCTAATCCAGTCCATTAAGTTTTGTCAGAGGGACCGGGTATATGGGGCTCAAGTCCACAATTATAGCACCAACAAGAGCTCAATTTTATTCCAACTACTATAATTCGAACTGATGAATCCAATTAAGCCCAAAATAAAACTGATAGTAGGCACAATTTGCAGGCCACATTGCAGCCCGGTCCACTAGTCTAGCTCACTAGCCCGGCCCAATGTCTAGTCCTAATTGGAAGCCTATAGTGTGTCTTCACGGGAAGTTGAAGAAGGATCGAGCCAATTCAGTGATTAGGATTGTATCATCATTAATAAATCTCATTTATCAATTCAAACTCAACCACTAAATTATGTATTACACCTTTCTAGCACTGGAAAGGATACTTGTCCGAAGTATCCTTTCAAACTCAAGTCTTCACCTACTCACACCACGGTCCTTTTTAGTAAATTATATTATCTGGTGCAAAAGTTGGTGTGAAACACGTGACTATGACATTGGAAAATAGCATTACACATTGCGACCAAAAAAAAAAAACCCACATTAATTGTTTTTTCCCTTGTTTGTTTTTTTGTCCATTGCATTCATTTCACATTACTCAATTAATTATATTTTGTTATATAAGTAAAAATATTTTCTTTTAGTAAAACATATTATTTAAAAATAATTTATTTTAATGAAACATATAATCACTACATAATAGTATTTAATCAATTGAATAAATCATTAATATAACGGAACAATAAAGTATTTCTCTTATTTATGAATTAATTACTCCCTCGTATAATTTAATTGTTCCTTAATACAACCAATAATGGCAGGCAATAAATATGAAAATATCAATTACGATACAAAGAAGGATAAAAAAATTAAACGATGCATGTGAAGTGAAAAGAAAATTTCGAGGGAAGACAGGAGTTCAATGTGCTTTGGTAGAGTATTAAATGTTGGTGGTAAAATGGAGTAGTAATATGCCTTGTTACGAACTCTAAACTTTTAACCCCCACAATTTCTCCTCCCCATTACTCAAATGGAGTTGATAGTGGCCCTCCACCGATATCATTTGGCACTCCAATATCTAATTTTCTTATAAGTAACTACTTTTTATGTCATATTGTGGAAGCCATTGGTAATTTTAATTTTGTTTCAATTTGATTATTGCTAAATAGTAGAAATTTCAATTGACTCGCCAATCTGCACATGACATCATGTATGCATCCCACTAACACTTTCTTGTGGCCAAGGATTGTTCATTCCATCCTTACTCCAAGTTTCCATTTGCAACAAGGACGTAACATACACAACCAACCAATTATTAGAACTGTCATCCGGAGGATTGTAAATTTTAGCATACTGGAGCACAAAGCCAATATTCAGGAACATGAGCAGCATTGTCACCATTCTTATTGGTTCCAAGGTAATCAGGATGCCACCAGAGCATATTAAAGAGCAAACCAAAAACAAAAAATGAATAATTGTCCACAAAAAACAACAGTCAGTAGACTAAACGTGCCTGTTCCTTGAAAATAATAGTTGCAGCATCTAAAAGGAATTCTCGAGCTAGTTCAGGACTCTTTGCATGTTTCTGGGGACATGAGCATTCTCCATCCAGCTCATTTCCGTCCTTGTCCATGGACTCATCATCCTAAAAGTGAAAACAGCATTAGAGTTGTGTAAAAGAAGAGTGAAAACAGCAAACGGCATTAGAGTTGTGTAAAATAAGAAGAAAGATGATGATGGAACACGTCAAACAAAGTAATCCAACTTTTTAACACCATGGAAAAGGGTAGTAAATAATACAGAACTTGACTACCTCTTCTTCCTCAGCCTCCTCGGCATGCTCAAAAAACCTTCTGATACTTTCCCCTCTTGTGATTGTAAGTTTGTAACAAAACCATCACCAACCAAAAGCCTGCAATGTACACATTGTCGACCCTTCAGTGCATGAGCTTTTACAGAAATTTCAGTGCACCGGTCATCCATTTTCCAAGCCCTTATGGTAATATAGCATGCATTCAGACCACCAAGATCTAGACCAGACTTTTGAACACTTCCGCTTGCGCCAACATTTTGGAACTCCACAATATCAGATTTTCCTTCCCCTGTGCCAACTGCCCATTCAAAATGGTGGTATGTTCCAACGGTATCAGAGAAAGTTTGGTGCCAATCCACTTGGACTGTGTCATGAGATACCTGAGAAGAGGAGAAACTAAAATCGCATCACATTGGTGCAACATCTATACTGAGGTAAAAGAAAATGTTCCTTAACATGCAACTGATTCATAAAAAAATCACATGTCTAGTAGTTTACAGTTTGAACAGCTATACAGAGAATTACATGTAGCTTCAACAGAGACAATTCAGAACATACACTACAGAGAGAAGCGCATTATTGTGGACATACTAGGAATGTTAAAAACCCACACTCATATTGGAAGGCTGCATCGGCTACACAAAACCAACTGGTGCAGTGGGTTTCCTTCCGCATGCGCTTCAGTTCCTTCAGCTCCTTGAACTCGCGAATAACATTCCTTCTGCAGTCTCTACAAAATCTTTTGCTGTCAAACCTGTGACATGGACACAATTTTTTTCAGAAAATTAGAATAATCAAGCATGCGATCTTTTTCAAATTAAAATGCATATTTCTAATCATGACTCATGAGAGAAAGAGTAGATGGATTAGGGTACTCGATCTTGAAGGGCACTGGAAAGATCTCAGGATAGATAACTGCTATATCGGCCACTTCCAAACGTGAATAAACTAGATAACAATATTATCTTTAACTTAATAATGTAAAGGTTTCATAACATAATTTGTTTTTTTTTATCTTTAACTTAATAATGTAAAGGTTTCATAACATAATTTGTTCTACTTTGAGTATAAGAATTATAAGAAGTCAACAGTAAATTGCTTTACTGCATGAGAAGGCCACAATTCATCAACTATATCTTTATTTACTAACTCTACCCACATTAACTTTGGTCTTCCTCTTCCCCAAGTATTACCCTCAATGTGGACTATGTCACCTTTCCTAATTGGCACACTTAAAGGTCTTCTTTGCACATGTCCAAACCATCATAACCCATTCTCTCTCATTTCATCTTCAATTGGTGCTACTCCAACCATCTCCCGAATGTGGTCATTTTTAATACTACCATTTTTAGTCTTACCGCACATCCATCTCAACATTCACAATCAATTTACAGCCAATTACAGTTCATTTTTCTTAAAACAATATGCATATTAAATATGCACATGGATATATCATAAAAATGCCATTTCATAAGAAATTTTGTTTACATGTAAAATTTCTGATTGCAATGAAAATTTTCTTAATGACATGTTTTTGACAATCTTCTTCTTTTTACATAAAAGATTTACTAAATTAACTTTGTCCATTGTTATGAAACGGCTCCATTATCTTAGTCCAAATGGATTTATGCAGTCATCCACTACCTAACTGTTTATTTATCAATTTGTTCTGTTTTGATGTGGTCCATCAGAAGATAGTTGATCCTACTTTACTGACCTACATTGTTTGTACTGAAAACATCAAAAGCTCAGAATGCTTTTTCACTTTGCAAGAAATATTAACCATATATCTCTTTTCCTCTAAGATGTATTACTGTCTGGATCATCACATTTAGCCGCTTCACAATAACATCAGGCTTGCACAACAGCCATCCATACAATTCTTCCACCTATTTAAACTAACAGCTAGATATAAGCACAAAGGGAAAAGAAAGATAATCAAACACACACCTGTACATGAGCCTTTCTATAAAATCCTCTTCTTTCATCCTTAGAAGGGATTGCCGGTTTTCTTCTCTGAGAGCGGACCAAAAATCCACCAATGTGTCAACGGAGAGTCTGGCAGTGTGTAGAGCACATGTTTCCCTGGTTCCATGCCCTCTGCCATACCCTGACATTCCTTGGCTTATCCACCCTCGACCTCCCCCACAACAAGCATCAGGATAAAGCATTTCGCGTTCCCGTTCCCTCGCTCGTGCACAGTCAAAAACCTGATTCAGGTGAAACTTGAGCTACCATGGAAAAAGGAAAAAGGAAGCATTGCACAATGAAACAATAAAAGGGACATACATTTTGGAGTCCCTTGAGAGATTCAGAGTACAGATAGCAATCCAGGAGGGTCAATGTCCCATCTCGAGTTGTGGTCAGACCTTCCCAAGGGTGGACAGATGGATCTTGAATGTCATCTCGGCAGCCAGGATTCACACCAGAATTCCCATCATTTTGATTTTTTGAGGCTCCTAGTCTATTGCAAATAAGGTGCCTGCCTGGTCCATCCTGCTGCAAAGACTTTCCATACATAACAATCTGCAAAAAACCCTCGAGCAGTAACCCATTGCACCTAGAGCAGTACATGTTCTTACGAGCTTGCTCAAAGAGGGTTTGTTTGTCAATCCTCAGAAGCTCCCTCCAGGCTTGGGGAAACGCCTCACTCTAGAACTACATCACAAGCACATAGCATTTTACCACCAACCAGTCACATTTCCATTAGTTATCCATTGAATATAAATATCAATAGAAATGCAACCCAATCTGTTCCAAACTCGAATCAAAACAACCACAATAACTTGCTACTTTTATCCTCGTGACATTCATTAAAATATATAGAGAAAGAGTAGAATCATTGGGTTGCTAATATAGAAACTATCAGTACAAAATACAAGGTAATGCATAGATGCTAAAACACAGCAAAATTTTCTTCTAAACATATTTGCATAAATGGTATACTTGTTTTCGGTAAAAGGCATAAAATGGTATATTTCCAGGCATCACAAGTTAACAATTCCTAATAGTGTCGTATGCCCATCTTGTATTTAAGATTGGTAAGTAATCTATACTTTGAAATATAGTAACCCAGCGACAAGTTCACATATATCAGACAAAAGATTCTAACTATGAACCGCAAATGCAATAGAACTGGATCTGATTCACATCACGAACTAAAATCCAATTAAAACGCACTTAAATCCTCTTATTTTGTGGATTAGATTCTAATAAAATCACAAATTGTTTGCCAAGATGGGTGCATATTGTCCTTTCCCTTTGAAATAACAATACTATAGGACATGATAAACTCATACAGATTTTCAACAATTTAGTGTTACCAACTTTTCCTGCTAAAACATGGTAACAAGCTGTAAATCTTATGCTCTTATGAATAGATGTGAAATTAAGCATCCATGCAATGAATAAAGGCACGAGAAACGGATTCTGTCTCAAATTTGCACATACAACATCAATAAATTATCTACTAGATAAACTATTCAGCTGGCCAACTGCTTGCAACTATTTTTCCAAGCACATTAAACAACTCCAGTGAGAAAATCCAATCACAACTACTTCTCCAACTCAAAGGATGCTCACCAATACCAAGAAAAGTAACCAAGGTAGAAGCAACCTCTAATTCCCGGTCATTCAGCACCTCAAATACTCCATTGCATGTCCTCCCCCAAGCCTCTGCGAAAAGATCAGGGAATTGGATCTCTAAATGGCGGTCGCCTAAACACATAATGCTAAAAGCACCCCATCGGAAATGTTTCAGACAACAAATGAAGCCTCTTTGTAGTCGACTGACTTATTCACATGTTCTTATAAACCATCTTCCAATCAGACCCTTTGAGTCACATAGTGAACTACCTACAATCCAGAAAAGAAAAAAATAACTGGTCAGAGTCCTATACCTTTAAAATGAAGGTTGAATACTGAATCACAGCCTTCAAAGAACACATCAATCAATTTACAAAAAATGCTTAAAGTCTCCACCAAACCTTTGTACATGGACACATGATCATGCATCATCTCTGTGTATAGCTAGCACAAGATTTCGGACTTAATACTTTAGATCTATTCAAACATTCATTAGCAATTAGAAATGCGAATCTCGTTTTTCATTTTAATGGATGCATGCTAGCCAGGACCAAAAGATAGTGACTTTCTTGCCACCTCTTTCAATCTCCTGGCTACGACCTTAGCTATAATTTTATAAACAAAGCAGGAGAACAAGCTAGATATCCCTTACTTCAACAGCACGCCTTCTTAATGATGAAAACAAACTTGGAATTAATACTTCTCTTGAACAATCACCCCTCGTGAAGCTTCCCACGATTCATTCATAAGAGAAGAGTTGGAAATCTTCATGGACAAAATTTTGACAGTTATAAAATTTACTGCTGCATGCGGACAAACATCCTTTTAGCAAACTAGTCAACCTTTACTAGGCAACATTTGATAGTCACTGAATTAAGTGCTCCATGCTGACAAGAAACCGTGTAGGTTTGAAGTAAATTGGACCTTCATGTCTGAAGTCTATAAACTAAAGTCCCCCTTCATTTCAAGCTTGATGCTAATTTGTTCCAGGATGAGGCACATCAATTTCATTCGTAAACACAATAGTCAATTTTTTTTTGGCCCAAATTGGTATCCTTCCAAACTAATAACATAAATTACCGAAGAATATGACATACAATGGAAGCTTCAACATAATTTACTTAGTGATCAACACGGCACGAGTTCAGCATTTTTGTGGATTAGATTCTGCTAAAAGCACAAATTGTTTGCCAAAAATGGTGCATATTGCTAAAGAACATGATAGACTCATACAATACCAACAATTTAGTGTTACACACTTTTCCTGCTAAAATGCAGTAATAAGCTGTAAATCGTATGCTCCTATGAATAGATGTAAAATGTAACATCAATGTAACATTCAGTGTTCAGATTCAGCAGCAAACAACTAACATAACCTTGCATAGCTATCAACACTGACATTCAGATAAGCTGTAAGTTAACTGCCATAAACTAATTATCATTACCTCAAGAACTGAAGTTCTTTCCACTTTTTTTGCAAGCAGCAATTCTAGTTTTTTTGGGGGACAAAACTCTAATCTTCATCAGAATCCACCTCGACCTCTGAATCTTCTTCATCCTCACAGAATTCATCCCCACTTTCATATTCTTCCTCCTCGAGCTCTTCTTGTTGTGTGCCATCCTCCTCAACATTACCTAAATTGTCTGGCTGAGGTATCATGCCCACACCTTTACCCCGATAAAGCAATCCAGTTCTCATCACATGATAAAACTTTTCTCTTAAACAAGAGAGTGGATGAGGGTTCGTTAATTTTCCCCGCCGGTACCCTTCTCTTATTGCCACAGTTGTGGTCTTACACTTCAATGAAAGATAGAATATCCCAGGGTACCTAGTAAAAATTCGCGTAAACTTGTGAGGAAGATTCAATTCTTCTCTCAAGCTTCTCAAGTAATTCCTCTTAGTCTTCTTATAAATAGTCAAACTCAAAAATTCATGTAGAACCCCAACAACCCTCTTCTCCATAAGATCACTATTTGGGTCAATTCCCCTAGAGTCCTCATATGGTGAAATGTATGGCAGCTTCTGAAACTCCTCCATCCAGGCCTTCACCTTATTCTGCGCCCCATAACCCCTTGGAAAACTCATTGGAAATCCCAATGCTGAGTATCCCCTCTTGAATTGCCTATACCCTCCACTACCACCACTACCACCACCCAATTCAGCATTCTCATGACTCTTCTGCAACTCAGAAACTGAAAACTCTTCGCGCCATTGCTCGAGCTTCAAACACAACCCATTCGGACCCTTGACGACCCGGAAACAATCCGGGTACTTCCTTATTAGGGTTCTATCGAAATCATCAGGCAAACCCAAATCCCATTTCAAAGGGTTAAGTGATTGGAAAGGTACCATCTTGTTCTTCATCATCATGAGTACACGACAAAGCCGTTGGACCGTGTCGGCTTCGTGGGTCTGGAATATGCGTTGTTCTTCACTGTGCAGATTGTTGGCAATGTTTGTGAGGCGAAAACAGGGCAAGCTGGGGTACCTGGGGTGAGGAAACTCTTCGAATAGAGTTGGGTATCGGCGAATGAAACGGAGGGTTGGGACGGTGAGTCCGAGGAGTTTTTGCCAGTCGTTGATGGATTTGGAGGTGAGAAAACCGGTTGAGGAGCGATTGATGGCGTCCTTGAGGAGGCAAGCAGCTTTGAGGTCGGTGTGGGTGTCGATGATGTGGTCTAGGCTTCGATTCTTGACCCATTTGAGACGAACCCTGACTAGGGTTCGACATTGTTGATGGTGGTGGTTGGAGAAGGTCTCACATGGTGTTGGGTTGAAACGCAGTATCGAGAACAATCCCTTGGTTCTGAAGTTCATGGGTATGCATACGCATATGATATGATATATATGTGTGTGTGCGCGCGCGCGCGCGAGCAGGGCTTCGGAATTGAGAGAGATGTGACTGTATCAGAGGCAGGGGAGAAATGATTCTAATTTCTGGAAAATAGCCATTTTCTGCAGAATGTTTGAAGCTTCGGAATTGAGTCGATTTCTCTTGTTGTATCTTTTGTGTGCGCTCGGTGGCTATGGAAGTATCATTAAGCCAACTAATGATACTTTCATAAGCCAATGGTTTTGTGGTAGGGTCCACTTTTACAGTATAGGACTCCTTTTATTTGGGTTGTTGGATTGTCACTACTTCTCTCTGGATGGTCGCGACATCGATCCTTGTAATTGTTGGCAAAGATACACCGGTTTCTCTCCTTCCAAATGACATACATATATTGATGCAACAAATACCAATTTAGAGGTGACCTTTTTAGAGACTCCCTATGCAAGTTATGAACTAACTCCCCAATTGATGTAACTCTTAAGTAATTGGTAGTAGACAACTGCATGCATGAAACATTTAGAGCTCAAGTATCTCAAATTCTGCTAGTTAATGTAAATGAGCATTCATAGAATAGATGTATGTGGTTTTCTGGTTGAATTTTGCAGAATACACAGCTCATGGTTCCCATTCAGAGTGTTGAGAGTGGGCCTTGGAATATGGCCTTTGAACCATAGCATCTTGAACCAGCTGACCATATTAGCCTTAGGATTAATGATGTTCCTTCCATGTAGGGAGTCTAATGATGTTCCATTGGCACCTCTCTCTCTCTCTCTCTCTCTCTCTCTCTCTCTCTCTCTCTCTCTATATATATATATATATATATATATATATATTCTTGTTATTCCTCTAAATCTAATTTCTCATCTTTAACTGCTTTTCTCCAATAATCTTCTTGTTCTTCCTTTGAAAAATATAGTGTCACTACAGACACTTGTGTTGCAATGAATGAGTGGGTCCAAAACTCGTACAGCTTGAGATGATATTATATAAAGCCTTGTGTGGACAACGCCACTGCTCAGGACTCAGGAGGAGACCTTGGTCCAAAACCCAACAAGTATAATCTACAGACAACCAAGTCCTATAAAATTGGCCTTTAAGTAGAGGAGTCCAATAGATATGAAAGTCAAAACAAACTATAAAGCTATGGTCCATTTAAAAAACTCTCAGCCTGAGTAGCATAAACAACATGGTTTAGTTTGCGAAACCAAGCTGGAAGATATTAAAACTCACTCATCTTATTTTATTTTATTTATTATAGAAAACGGGACCCATTCAACTAGTAAACCTCGGTCACGGGATATACCCACAAATCACACATGCTATTCAAATTCGGGTGTTTTTGTGCTTTTTGATAGTCAAACCCAGGACATATTCAAATTCGGGTGTTTTTGTGCTTAGTTATTAGTCAAACTCAGGACATCTGAGTTTGCCCCTTGAGATCCCTTAACCATTGAGCTACCCGAGTACGTTATTAATTCATTAGTGTAGTAGTAATGACTTGTGTGAACCGAAAAAAGCATCCTAAGATCACGATTGAAATATCGAATGACCCTTCCTATCAAAATAGAAAGTAACACCGACGGGCCAGTGGCCTAGCAGCCTTGGTAACAATTGAAAAGATATGCAAACATTTCACTTGGTACAACTTTGGACCTTGCTTCATCATTACTGATATCTAATTGTGCTTAAAACCACAATGAGTCCAATTGCAGCCTAGCTGAAAATTGAGTATGCTATGCAAATCAGAAAAGGAATAAGGGGGGAAAAGTATATATGTATATATACTCATAAAACATGAGAAACAAGTAAAATAAGGGAGAGAATTAAAACGTTTATTACCCAAAAAGTATAAGTGTGAATTGCTTTATTAACAATGCATTATGATGTTTCTGGCTTCATGTGCTGCATTCAAATCACTGTTTCTCTCAAATCACAAGTCCAAATGACCTGAAATTTTAAATGGGCAACATACAATAATAAGTCTAGTTTCAAACCCAATTGAAATCATCTGAAAATTCAATGTACAACTCAAGTTAAGACACACAAGTCAGATTATGAACATGTACCTTTCTAACCATACAAGTCTCCTAAATTAATTAATTATAAATATCAACCGCACACAGGAAAATGTTTATGAACATCGTTCAACATGTCAATGGGGGTACACAACCTGTTTTATCCTCTAAAATTAAGGGAATATAAGCAGCATATCAATTATTTCATCCCAACTTTTAAATGCCAATAAAATGAACCAACCTCCCCATCTTCAAGCATAGGAAATGAAAGCTAACATGTTCCAGCTACTTGTACAATTCTTGTCAAATACGTGATTTATAGCCGACCTTGGCTGCTTGCATTGCAAATGCAATACACAAGTTTTCCATACGTACAAAATATAGGTCATTTATCATGCAAGTTCCATGCATTTACAGGTTTACAAACAAGCACTATTCATTTCCCAGGTTATTTCAATATGGAAATGCCAAACAACATTCATCAAAAAAACATTCTTCTGAAGGGTAGTATATAATAACAAGGCAATCAATCCATGGCAAGTTCCCACATTCTTCATTAAGCATCTACATTTGGTCCCCTCGGAGGGGTATCATTACCTGAAAATGTAGAAGGGTGAGACATTTACACAATTTAACAATAAATGAAGTGTTAAAATTGGATAATAGGTGCATAACAATTTAAAACAAGTTTCTGCAGATTATCATACTTTCAAAACTCGCTATAGAAAGTGTTCCAAGTGCAGATCCACAAATAATCATATGCTTTCAAGGCATGAAATGAAGAAATCAGAAAATAAAGACAGATTTTAAAGTTAATCAAACCCATTTTCACAACCTTTAAAATTGTCCCAATAGAATTATCACATGTTCTTCTATTAAATATCTTATGTCTAATAAAACTCCCTTCCCCCTCTCTCTCCTCTTTCTATGTTTATAAAAAAAACCCATTTAGCAACAAGTATATATATACAATCATGTCCATACTCATTCACTTCAAATGCATGTCCATGACATATGGGAAGGCTTTTAACCATGTTCTTTCTTCTTTCTTTCTTTGTTTTGCCAGTCACAAGTGTTATCCACTTGTTTTCTTGAATGGAGTGGACACATGTCACTCCATGCTTTAACCCAATTTTATTTATTTACATTTTTTTTTTTTTTATAATAGTTCATATTTAACCATCATCCCCTTATATGTTCCTTTCTATATTAATCAAAGAATATTAACAATTAGAATTTAATTTAGGTAACGCTCTGTCCACAATACTAATTAAATACATTATTTAGAAATTCAACACATCACATTCTACTACCCTTAAAATAGATTTCGTCCTCAAAATTTTAATTTATTGCAATCATCTTATAGTCAAAAGCCAAATCACTGATAATTTCCCTTCTTGTCTATCTTCCTTCCGTGATCAACACAATTCTTTTGCTTGACTTATGCACAACGTTAAAATTTTACTAGGATACTCCTTTACAATGCAACAAGTAATTGTTAAGGATACTATGTGAACAAGATGTCAATATGCACAACAATATATACACGTTTACGCACCTTCAAAAATAGAACAAGTTCTCCTCTACCTAATCAATATAAACACGTTTATGCACCATCAAGTTCTCTCTACCGTTATTTGAACAAGTTAGGCTTCTTTATCTAGCGAAACATAAAAGTACTCTCATAGTTTGAGAAAGCATTTAATTAAGGATACAATGAATGTAACTGCGTTATACGTCTTCAACAAGTTAGTAAGCTTCACTCTCTTTTTCAATAGAAACCTCTACACTTCAAAGGGAATAATGGATTTAAAATCATCACTAAGCCAGTCAAGATTAAGGAGCAGAGAAAAGCGACACCAAAGGCAAATGCAATAGTTTTAGAATTTTATTACAAAAAGGACATTAGAGCAGGCAGTTCATAGACATTACCAAGTCTACTAAACTGAATTAGTAAAACGAAATGGAGTTTATGCCAAGGATAAACCTCTACTGAGTTGAGATTCTTCAGCATGCAATTTCTCACTAAAGACACTCAATCCTACGTGTTGAAATATATATTAAGTGGCCACTCAACCACTACAATATACATATATATATATATATATATATATACATATATATATATAATATATTTCAACACTACGATATGAATTATCATAAGACTCTACTGATTCCCTTACTATATGCAAGTCGAGGACAAAACATGATCAACTACTATAAATGCTAAATCAAATTTTTTTTGGAATCAATAGCTGAAGAACTCTTGTCTGCTTTAGCTGATTGAATTTCCATATGTAAATAACACAGTAAAATCACCAATAGAAACTTTATCTTTTGTCATCTAAATGAGTAACACTCTTCCAAATTTGACTCTTGGAGATTTTCACTCTTTAACTACCACAAAATTGATTGGGACTTCTTAAACTTTATTTTAAAAAAAGCTTTGTGTCAAATCAAATCCATAACTTCTATTTCAAAGTCATGACATGTTTACAATCATTTTGGAAATTTATCAAGTTTCTTCCTTCCAAATAGTGTAGATCAGCCAAAAGTCAATTTATTGATAAGAGACTAAAAGACCGAAAATTCATGTCTTTAAATTAGTTGCTTCTAAACTAAGCAGCTTAAAGAGATTGGAGAAATTCCCACCAAGTGTTTAGCTATTGCAGACTGGTTCCATGGAATAAGATCCATTAGCCCCAAATCACCTTCCTTATAGGCAAACCAATTATTTCCCAAGACCCTAGATTCATCATTCAATAATATATATGTCTAGACTTCAAATTAATATTCAACTATGTCCCACCATATTTAAATCCACAGGTAGGTGTCATTTCCTGGCACGAATATAAACTTCTAACGAAGCACATCATTAAGTTTGAATATAAACTTATCAAATTTCAAACAAGTCTAACCCTCATGTTCTAATATACTAGAATGTTGCAACTGTTTTACAGCCTAGGAATTTAGAACAAGTCTTTGCTCATCTATTTACTTAGACCTGGCATTTACCCCATTGTCTTCATTATCTACTCGTGATATTCCTTTGTAATTGATTGTTATAGATGAGCAAATTAAATAATCGTGTAACTCTTTCCATGACCTCAATCAAACAGAAAAGTTGACCTTCACTCCTTGAACATGCAATTTCTATTGCATTCTTAAATTGCGAAGTAGGTTTCAAGTTCCAATATGTAACCCTGCCTATGAAGGGCATTGCCCAGTGGCCAAGTTGGTAGAGCGGCTAGCTCCCCGAGCGGATGTGCCCGTGTTTGAGTCCCCCATTCCCGTAATTAAAAAAAAACACTACCCGTGAAGGATTTGTTCTTAAAGAAGTAATCAATTTTATCCTCGAATACATATCGTATCTCCAGTGCACCTAAACTGCCAAAGAAACTACTAACTAGGCTCTGATACCAAAATTTGTCATGCCCCAAAACCTGTTCCGGCCCAGAACATGAGAAAATAAGGAAACAAGAAAGAGAATTAAAACATTACCCTAGGTGTCTATTATAGTTGGTTTCCATTTTAGAGTTATTTTATTATGGTAATTTCTTGTAAGGCAAGTCTTGGCCTCTAAGGAGTCCTTATGTAAGGCAAGTTTTGGTCACTAAGGAATTGTAATCCTTGTCCACCAAGGAATTAGATATGGAACTCTATAAATAGATACCTAGGGTATTGTTGAGGGGTAGGAGTGGAGAGACATGTAGCCCATAAGGGCAACATCACGAGGGAGTGAGTTATGTGTTAATGGGTGGAGAGAGTTAGGTTTGGTATAGTGGACACTGAAGATGAGAGGGTGTGTCGTAGTGAAAGGGCGTCTCACAGTACATAGTGTAATGCTTGAGTATCTCGACCTCTGCCCAGGCAGACAGTTACACAGGAAAGGCTCTAGGTGAGAGTGAGTGTACAAGTTATTTCATGCAGGTAATTCTCTACAAATTGTAATATCTCCTCATCCGTGGGCGTAGCCTAGAGTTTGGGTTAACCACATATATTTTGTGTTGTGTAATGTTTTGTGGTTGGATCTTCTATGCGGTTGCATATGTTCTTGTTGCTGCGGACTGGAATTCAGAAGAGTCCAACCGGTATGACTTTCTCGGCACATGATGTTCTGCAGAGTGCAGCTGGTCGCACTTGCCTGGTTCGCGTTATGGTAATTGGTTCACGCTTCTTCTGTTGCGCGTGTCATAACACTAGTAACCAGGATTTCCATGGGCAAACCAGACATAATGAGGTTGATTGTCATTGCATTCGATCTAAGGTGACCTCTAAAGTAATTGTGACTTTGTTCTTATAATCAGGTATAATTACTAAGGCTCTTCCAAAGCATGCATTCGATTCTATCTGCAGCAAGTTGGGAGTTGTTGACATCTACTCTCTAGCTTGAGTTGAATTGTCAAGAATACAACTCATAGTCAACCATTCCTTAATTAGGGGCATGATTAGTTATTCCTTAATTAGGGGCATAATCACTGCTTTCCATAATCATTGCTTTCCTTATTTTATGTTCTTGAGAACATTATATACATTGTAATCATCCTTTGAATAATAATAATACATAATCAATTCTTCTCTCTCTAAGATTGAGCTTACACTTTTAACAAAACCCATGGCAATTCAAGAGTTTTCATATTACAATCCCAATTCAAAGATCCAGCAGCAGAGTACCATAGGTAATTTTCACAAGTTAACAAGAGTTAAACTGTTAAAGCATGGAGAGTAGGTGCATAACAATTTATAAAAAGCTTCTGGAGATTATCATACTTTTAAAACTGATAATAGAAAGTGTTCAAGTGCAAAACCACAAATAATAGCGCTTTCAAACTCATTTAGTAGAAATGAAAGGAAGATATCAGAAAATAGAGACAGATTTTAAAGTTAATCAAACCCATTTTCGCAGGAAGAGAAAACAAGCCCAAGTGAGTAAAAGTTGGAAATTCCCTACCTTTAGAGTTGTCCTGCGAAATCCCAATAGAATTCTCTCTCTCTAGCAACAGCCAGAGCTATTATATCTTATCTGATAAAACTTCCTTGAGAAGCCTTCCCCTTGCTCCTCATTCACTTATGCATATAAATGTACATATAGCCTGGGGATGCACCACACGTGTATATACTCATATCCATACTTGTTCACCTCAAATGCTTGTCAATGACATATGGCAAGGTTTTAACCATATTATTTTCTTCTTCTTCTTCTTCTTCTTCTTCTTCTTCTTTTTTATTTTTTTTTCCTTTCGTTCTTTGTTTTATTCAGCCACGTGTATGTATTTACATCCACATGTTTTCTTGAATGGAGTGGACACATGTCGCTCCATGCTTTGACCCTCTTTTATTTTTATTTTTTAATAATAATTCACATTTAACCATCAACCTCTTATATTTTCATTTCTATATTAATCAAAGATTATTAACAATTAGAATTTAATTTAGGTAAAACTCAGTCCATTGTACTAATTAAATACATTTTAAAAATTCAGAACATCACAAGAACTTGTTCTACTTTTGAAGGAGATAAATGTGTATGTATTGTTGTGTATTTTGACTACTAGTTCAGATAGTTTCCTTATCAATTATTTGTTGCATTATAGAGAAAAATCTAGTAATTTCAATGTTGTGTACAAGTTAGGTGAAAGATTTTGAGTTAAAAATAAAAGAAATACTTTGGTTGAAGGAAGATAGGAGAGAAGGGAAATTGTCAGTCCTGATGAGATACATCTAATGGATTCATACCTTTGGCTCTAGCATCATCTGATATGACCCCGACATCTTCTTTAGAGGAAACCTTTTGATCCATTATTTTCTTAACTGTGGAGGGGAAGTTCTCCTGTGCTTGTGACGTCTCTGAAAAAAGTAACCAAACCAAAAGGTGAGTGTGAATCCCCTAGTAGTTTCAACATTTAGTGTCTTCCCATTAATGTCAACTCATTTCATCTGAAGTCGCGTGGGGTTAGGGAATGATGGATTATAAAAGCAAATTTGAATAGGATCTATAATTTGCTAATAACATCATGTGGCCGTTATTGTACGAATATGAGTCATTTTTTCACAATTATATAGATTCCATAAATGTTAACTCTACCGAAGGGGAAGATACAAGAAAGATAAACAATCTGACGAATATCTTGATATATTAAAGCAGGTTTAATGGTTCAAAGCATATGTAAAGAAACAACTGCAAAGGCTCCATGAGTGATCGCAAAAGCTGTTCAGCCACTTACCTTGAAGACCAGTCTGTTGAACAGATGGCAAAGCACTATACTCAGGAGTCCTTGGAGTATGGAAACCTTCACATTACAAACCATAGTTTGGTAAAAAGTTTGCAACAACAGAACTATACAAAAAAATTATATATGGAAAATAGCAATCCAATTCTAAAGCTTTATCTATTCTGGTACCACCACCACTACTATGTTCTGAGGTAACAATAGGCCCTGTCAAAGTGCTAGTTGTTGAGGTCTCTGCTCCTTTGCTGTTATATTTCCACTTCCATTTATATTCTCCGCAAGCTGCTTCTGTTGGCTGAGATACTCAAAAGCGTCTTTGAGCTCTGCTTCAACCTTAATTATATGCTCAAGTTCCTTCCATTGTTTTAATATACTGGCATTTACAAGAATATCACTGTCAGCATTTGAATAATCACCATGATAGGTGACAGGGAAGTGAGTGGATGAAGACAAAAGTCAAAATAACATTAACTCTACACACGGCTAGTAATAAATAGCAAAAAAGGAAAAGAAAGTCTAAAATAAATTAGGTATAAATCTGCTGGTGGAAGCAAAAGGAAGACTTACGCTTGTTCTCTAACCTTCTCCTGTGTATGTTTTGTTGGATTGCCACCTTTATTATTCTTCTCTGTATCAAGTGTTGTAAGCTCTGCTAAAAGTGCTTCTCCTCCAGCCTTTGCCTTCTCAAATGCATCTCTGGCCACAAGATCTTCCATTATTGCCTGGAAGGGAGAAACACTGACATTGTCAAATTTAGTCCATTTAAGTTGGAGAATATAAAAGAAAAACAGAGAATTGTTTAGTTTCTAGCACTCAAAATGGATCTTCCTCCCTCCATTGCTCTCTCCTCCCTCCCCTCCTCCTCCTCTCCCACCACCACCACCACCACACCACCTCAAGCTTCCTATTCTCCCATGTCACCCCAACTACCCACAACCAACCACAACCTAACCATCCAACCATAACTCCTTGCAACATCCACAACCAACAAGGAGGAAACAGATATCAATGATGATGAAGAATAATATAAGGAAATCACCCAGGCTATCCAACACAACATAGCCCAAAATGTACTGGCTAGAGAACTCTCGGCCATCCAGCGGGTGGTAGATTTGCTCTACAGGGATAATACACTCTTGAGGAAACAAATCAACCCTGCACTTGATCATATGGGAATGAACTCAAGAAGAAGTCACTATGTACCTGAGGAAGGAAATCAAATTCTTGAAGAGGGAACTGGCGAAGTACAAAGGTGTAAGCCAATCCATAATCCAGGAGGGCATAAATCTTCTTAGAAGAGAAGAAACTCAAGCACGGATGAAACAAAAAAGTGAAAGGTCCCTAACCACTCTACTACATCCACAAGCACTACAGTACCAAGGGACCTCAAGCTTCGAAGCTCAGACAAGCCCGTGGAGGACCAGAGGATTGTCCCAGTAACCTCTCAAAGCTCAACCCACACGCCAGGCGCAAGTAAGTCTCCTCAAATTACCCCAGTAATTTGAATTTCAACTATGCCCAAAAGGCAATGGGTGAAGTCACCTTTCCCATCCCTCTAATTCCCAAGCTGACTTCACCAAAAAAGAACCAAAACATAGAGTCACATCCCCTAGCTGTCAACCAACAGAACTTTCCCATCCTACATTATCTGACGAACTCCACCCAAATTCTCACAGCCTACCAACCTAGTTCACATCCAGCTAACCAAAAAAGCAACACCAACACCAACATTTCAACCCAACCAAACAACCAACCTAGTCCTACATAACCACAGAATAGCCAAACACTACTTTGGTCAACCACAGCACAAAGAACAGGACCAAGAACGAACTTTAAATTCCTTGAACCATCCAAAAGTGAAGGTGTTGTAATTGTTGACCCACCTCCATGCAGCAGCACAGACGGCTGCGGTGAATGGAAACCCAGCCTTATTGGATTCTCATCCAGAAGAAAATTCCATTTGGAATGGTCTCATCCGTTGCCAAAAAAGTATTGTCACATAAGGGCCTCTCTCAAGTTTTGGGGAATGAACATACTGAAAGGAAGTGCAACAGAATAACTGAAGGAGGACTGTGGATGTTCTCAAACAGACCTATTATGCTAAGGAAATGGCACCCTAAACTACAGTTTAATGAGAACACCTGCATTACCATAGCCCTGTGGATCAAATTCTACAACATTCCTCTCGAATTCTTTAATAGCAAGGGTTTGAGCATCATTGCAAGTGCCGCTGGACTACCTCTATTTGCTGATGAGTTGACTGAAAACAAAAAGAAAATATCCTTTTCTAGAATTTGTGTTGAAGTTGATGCCTCAAAAGAGTTTCTTCAATCTTTCAAACTAAAAATTGGTGAGAATGAGTTTGTAACTATCAGGGATGAGTACAAATGGAAGCCACACATGAAAATGCTTTGGTCATTCTGACAAGAACTGTAGTGAGAACAACAAAACCTGGGTGATCAAACCGAAGGATAAAACTGCTCAACCATTCACCAATCAAGAGCAATTGGAATGGACATCCAGTAGATCAAGGGAAAACACTCTCTATCTCCTACTCACCAAGCTTCCCAAAGCCAACTCCACCCAACCCACAAACACACCCCCCAGACCCATCAACCTGATACCACCATGACATGACCAAAAAAAACCCAATGATCCAACTGAAAACCCAACCCCAAACACCAAAACCTTCTGCAATAACCTCCCTGACCAAGCATCTCAAACAAAAACTATCACATTCACTTATGTCAACAAATTCAAACTTCGAGTAGTCCTTCCACCATGTTCACCACAAGACAGAGAAAGCTCCCACTCTTCCCAATCCACCAACAGATTCAAAGTACTATCTAATCTTGAAGATGACGAAGAAATCAACAGCGAGGTAGTGGGAAGTATCTCAAGATGTACAGGTTCTTAAGGCCAATGATCAAGTCCAAAAAAAAGAATTATGTTGAAGAAAACTTCAACTGCCAGAGAAAATCTCTGCTGACAATCAAGTGGATTCAAATTCATGGAGTGACATACCAACAATGAAGATAGCCAGCAAAAATCTGCTGACAATCAAGTTTATTCAAATTCATGGAGTGACATACTAACAATGAAGATAGCCAGCAAAAGAATTAAAAGAGGCCCCGAGGGAAACCATGCAAGCCAAGAAGGAAACCATTGCAAGGTTCTTTGCTGACTTACAAACCCCTTCCAAGTAAGAGATTCAGGAAAATCAATTGGATTTTTTTAGTTTGCTGGAAACAAAAAATAGAAGTCAGAATGAAAAGGCAGTGCATGAAGCTATTTCTCAATGGCCTCTGATCAACAACTCTAATACATAAACAAAAATAAACAATGAAGTGAGTAAGCCCACTTCCAAGACATCAAAAAGAGAAACTGCCTCACTCCAGCAATCCAAGCGAAGACATAGAAGCAACATCAAGAACATCAACAAAATAGATGTAGCCACCATAGAGGCATGTCTCATGACCCCACTGTGAAGTCTTTAATTTCTTTCTTGCCAAATTCCCCAAATAACAGGAATGTCAATCTGGACGCCTTACAATTCTGACTGAACTCCCAAAACCATCTGCAGAATTGAACATAAAGATTCTTATTTTGATACTAGCATACCTAGCTTTTTTGTAACATTCATCTATAAGTCTAACTGTGCTGAGGAAAGGAAATCTCTATGGGAAGACATTGCCAACCTCTCTTCTTCAATCTCCCGTAACCCTTGGATCTTACTAGGAGTTTTTATTGCTGTGATAATCCCTAATGAGAGACATAGTGGCACTGACCAATGGACTCCTACCATGGATGACCTAGGAGCATACCTAATGGAAGCTAACCTTGAAGATCTTAAATTCTCTGGATTGTTGCATACTTGGTCTAACAAAACTCCTGAAAGTGGAAACATCTCAAAAAAACTAAACAGAGTGGTGGTAAACAACAATTGGTTGTCCAACTTTCCCTACTCTTCTTTCCTTTTTCTTCCACCCCACATATCTGATCACTCTCTAGGGAAGCTACAATTTGGGAATAGTAAGCTGAAGAAGGCAATATCCTTCAAAATTTTCAATTTCTGGTGTGATCACCCTAAGTTTCATGCCATTGTATCTAGAATTTGGAGCACTCAGATATCTGGAATTTCCAAATTCAGAATTGTGACTAAACCGAAGCTGCTTAAGGAAGCACTGAAGACACTAAACAAAGAAACCTTCTGGAAATTTGGCAGAGAAAGTCCAATTTGCCAAATCAGACCTCCATTGCTGCCAAACAGACCTTGACTCAGATCCCAGTAACTCAGAACTCAGAAAAAGGGAGGGTGAACTCATTAAGATATACACTAGCCTAAGCAAGATTGAAGAAACTAAGAAAGCCTAGTCAAACAAAAATCCATAGTACACTGGCTAGGTGAAGGAGATCAGAACACCAAGTTTTTACACAAATCTATTAAGAACAGATTAAATAGGAAAAGACTCACTCATATCTCAACTAGTGATGGATCCTCCACTCAAGATCCTCAACTAATTAAACATGAGTTCATCTTCTATTTCAAGAATCTCATTGGAAATGACTCACATTCTTACCTAGGTATAACTGCTCTTGCCCCTTCATTACCAAAAGCATCAGTAAAGACATGCTCAGCATGCTGAGCACTATTCCCACTGATGAGGAAATCAAAAGTTGCATTTTCACCATAAAATCTAATAAATCACTATAACTCATATAAAATCAACTATCTTGGTTTTGACTAAAAAAACAGAACAACACGAACCTGGCCAAATGTACTCAACACGGGCAACATAATGGACCGATAGTCATGAGCAGATGCTTGAGCAAGTTCATTCTTTAGCTGCCTCATATCAGCAATTCCCTCCAAGATCAAAGCATCGATTTTACTACGCTGCAAGACTTCACACAATGAGACAAGCATCTAGGCCGGGAATTACAAATTTCAGGAGGATTCATGATAAATCACTGCTGGAAAAATAAACAATATAACTGAATTTACAATATTAAATCAAGTAATAACCTGTGTAGAGAGCCAATCCATTTTCTTTTGAATTGTATCCTCATATGGATACCGATTATCATGACCAGATGATTCCCCAATATAAGCAATTCCTTCGTCAATTTTATTTCCATCAAGTGAAGTACTACCTAAACTGAATATTCCCTCTTCCTGCTTAATCTTCTTCTTCTTCTCAGAATCAGTCTTTGAGTTGGCTATAAGTTTCTGAAACTCCTTCCTGGAATATTCTAGTCGTTCTTCAGCACTTGTCCAGCAAGAACCCTCTCCTCGTACAGTATCATTGAGCGGATCAATTGGATCTTCAATGGCCAATGCCCTTTCACACTCTACTACAACTTCCTCATATTATTCAGTAGCGTAAAGAATTCTTGCGTAGAGAAGAGCGAACAGAAACGAATTCTTTGACAGTGAGACTGCTCGCTTAGCCAACTCAATTGCATTCCCCATCGCTGCTTCTTTCTCGAATCTGCTGGTACTGTCGTCGTCGTCGAGTTTGGACGCGATATACAAGTACACCGAAGCTTGAACACGATAAGCCAGTCCAGAACGATCATGTCTATTGCATACCTCTTTGACCATCATCAGATATTCTTTGTGATCTCCACGCGCCTTGAATGCTGGATTCAATTCGTTCCTAATCATTGAAGAAGAAGAAGAATCCACAACTTGATCAGCAGCTCTTGGCTTCATCGTTTGGCTTCTTGGAGAAGAAAAAGTTGAAAAACTTTCTCGTTTGGTGATATTGTCGAATACCTTGCGAGCAACTATCGTTTTGGTGCCTCCGGTTACAGCCTTATTGCTCACGATTTTGGGTAACCTGCACTACTGTTCCGTCATATAGCTGGCACGTACTACACGTAAACCCTGACAAGATTTCCCTTTTCGTTGGGAAGAAGTTTCTGGACCAACCAAACGACTCCGTTTGATAAAGAAGTCAGGGGTCTGTTGGCGACGTGTAAAACCCTTTTTCAGACGCTCACAACTTTTCCCTAGTTAATACCAAAATATATACTCTAATGGACTCCTCTCTCTCTATATTCCTCTACTAATATCACCTAGACTTTTAACCAAGTAAACAGCTCGGGCAGTTTTTTATTATACTAATAACTACTCTGTGTTCACTGAACTTCATTTGAATTTTTTTTTTTTTTTAAATTCATTTTTTTATTTTTGGGAAGTTGTGGTAATATGGCTTTTGTTTTTTTTTTTAGTTAACCCGGATATTCGGAATGGTACGAACCCTTTGAGCCCTTCAATAATCCGACTAATTTTCTAAAACTCGGAAGGGCACCCCTTCACCTGGGCCAAGTAAGTCATTGTATGGACAATAAATATTAGCCACAAAAAACACTTAACGAAATTCAAACCCTAAACTTGAACTTACTTAACCTCCAAAGTCCAACAACTAAATCGGTGGACACTTTTGTTTTCGGTTCATAAAACCATGTTTAATGACCAAAAATTTTCTACCCCACGTACTCTGCCCTCTCTCTCTCTAAACATTAATCTTTTTTTAAAAAAAAAATTATCCAAAACGCCATACACATATGATACGAGTACTTCTAATTGCTTCATCCCTCTAGCAATTTTAAGGATCAAAATCATATCTCTTATTACATTGATACACGTAACTCTCTCACCGAATTGTTTGTCCTTAAAAAGAGTCTAATGTTAGATCTATTTTTTTTTTAAGACATCAGGTTCTTACCCACTTTAAGTTTAATCCTTTAGCGTTAACTTATCATTAAATATAGAGTTAATAATGTTTTTATTTTTTTTTAATTATTTTTCGTGCATATTATCAATTGTATAATGTTTACTTGCCAATCTCTGTGGATAATATTTTTAAAGGACTGAATCAATTCGGACCTCCCGAAAATCTCATTTTTTTTTTCTTTAGGTGAATTTAAGATCAGTGTCTAATCCTTTCTTACCCCCTTTCTTTCTTTCTTTAATGGGCATAACATTTTTTCTCGACTTCGCTTATAAATAGTATATATCTTCTACACAAATTCCAATAGAAAAAATAGTCTTAATTTTAAAAATACACCTATCAATAATTGAATTCTTATTAAAATGTTCAATTAAATTATTATTTTTAATCTCTTTTACTTTGAGTCAGTCGGGATGATCACCATTCTTACATTTTTTTCAAATGTATGGGTTAGCTACATAGACTCTATTCCTCAATCCTATTATATCATACACACCATCTCTTCTCAGATTGAATATTTAAATTTTTTTTTTTATTAATTTCATTGACACCTTTTCATGTTTAATCAAATATTACATTGAAATTATCTTTCAAAAATTACTATCACGTAGGTCTAATTTTACTTTTTTTGTCAATAACACCTTTAAAAATGTGCGAAAAAGCAATATTACCTTCATTTTTTAAATACTTTTTAAGCCAAAATATCAATAATATAAAAAGACAAAGTCACACCCATTTGTTTTTCTCTCTAAAATATGTAGTTTCTCTCTCTCTAAAATATACCGGTATGTATATAAATATATCTAGGCTCGGCGGGCCTTCCAACAACAATGACGAAGAGCAACAGCGGACGACGAGGATGAGCAAATTACTCTGGTGACGACTAGTGACTACTCCAGAAATGACGAAGATCAGCAATGATTTGACAAGGTTTTATCTTAAACAACTATTCCCACAAACAAACCCAAATCGTCGTTGAAACCATCAAAATCATAGTTGACGGGGCCACCACCACCACCCCATATCGGCGCCACTACCACCACCACCCCAACCCCCATAATCGGTAGCCAAAATCTCTCTTGTAATACCCCAAATTTTCAAATGATATAATTGAGATTTAATTATTTGTTTTATTGCATTTTTAATTGATTATTTGATTTCGTGGCTAATTATTTATGTGTTCATTTAATTTGTTTGGATTAATTGTGTGTTTTAATTAATTGATTTTGTATGATTGTTTGTTTAAATGTTGTGTACCGATTTATATTTAATTGCTAGGATTAAATAATTTATTTGTTTTATTTTATTGTTTTATTTTTAAAGGATTGTATTTAGATAGTAGTAATGGACCAACCAAATGGGTCACATGAACTACTTGGATAGGAAAACCTAAAGGAGTATGGATAATAACCCACGGGCATTGGTTTATATATATATATATATATATATATGGATATTAGTAATAGTTTTATTATTATTATTATTATTATTATTATTGTGAAGACTGTGTCTTCTTTTTTCCTTTTCCGATTTTCCATCATTCATTTTTTTATTATTTAATTATTTGGTTATTTCTTTTTTGCATAACCTTAGGGTTTTAAGTTTGGATTTGATTTCCGGCATCACGTGTATACATCTTATGCTATTTTAATGAAATGTAGCTTTACTTTTGTATAAAAGCATGCTACTTGTTTACTTTTCAATGCATAGTTTCTTCGGAAACATTTTCACTTTTGGGGGTGCTTTGTGTAATTATGCTTTTTAAATATTTTTGTCTTAGGGATCATTTTGCAAATTATTTTGGAGAAGGACCATTTTACAAATATTTTTGGACGTTATTTAGAGGAAAGATTGAGTTACAATTTTTGAAAATATGTGACAAGTGTCACATTTTCTTTGGGGACACTCGTCATATTTTGGGTGAAGCACTTGGAGGCTTAGGATAATGACAAGTGTAGGCTTGAGATTTAACCTTGTGAGAAACCATTGGATGGTGACATGTGTAGGGTGAAGATTCACCCACTTGATGGCCTATGATTGGTACACTTGTTGGCTTAAGATGAGGGCAAGTGTAAGGCTTAGATGTGGTCTTGTGATGAGGCCTAAGATTGTGACAAGTGTAAGCTTAGGATTGCATCTTATGAGGGTGTGAGAGATTTTGACAAGTGGAGGGAGTAGATAGTGTGTGTGTCATAGGTTGTGATAGTGTGTGTGTGTTATTGGCCAACAAATGCCTTAGTTAGTGGAAAATCTCTAGATTTTTCACTAACTTCACATTCTTCCTCACCTTTCATCTCTTGCCACCATTGTGAAGCTTAAAACCCTAGGCTTAGACCTTGCCTTGCACCACTTCCCCTCACCATTCCTGTAACAGCCCTGGTTTTACAAGCCAAATGCGGAAGCGAAAGACAAAACCAATGTCTCTTGAGATATAACACATCTCTAAGATGCTAAAATGACCTTCCATGTGGTCACGCAACTCAACGGGGACGAGAATAGAAGCTAGGGTTAAAAATAGAACAAGTAAGGCCCCAAGGACAAAATGGTCTTTTTACCCAGAAACAAAGTCTCTAGGGATGCACGTCATCCCTAAGATGCCAACTTAACTTCCCACGAAGCTACAAAACTCAAAAGATAACAAGATGCAGAAGCGACGTTTTAAAAAGAGACAAATGCAACACTAGGGGTAAAATGGTCATTTTAAAATAAAAAGTGGGTGCTACAGGGTACACCATTGGATAGAAAATGAAAAATTAATAAATTTTGACTCAAGAATCATTTGATTCGAAGTCTGGATGACAAAGTTATGATCAAATCAAGAAAAATGGTCAAAAGGAGCAACACATGACCATCTAATCGATTAGATGACAAAACAAAGAGTTAGAAAAATGTAAGAGACCATCTAATCGATTAGATGCTCCATCTGATCGATCAGATGACCTCATCTAATCAATTAGATAGTTCATCTAACCGATTAGATGGGTCTGACAGCCAGAAAATGCTAGAGAAAAACACTGTCTTGAGGACCAAGATGGACTTTTTTGGAAAAAGTTTATGAAGTGACCCCTCCAAAATCACATTTTCTAAGTGACCATGTCAACAGAAGTTTTTATTGTTCAAGTGAAATACCCAAAATGTTCCTTAGATCAGATTTTGCATAAAACCTTAAAATGCATGTGACTCTCTCCAAGTGTTCATTTCATACAATTGTGAAATTTTGTGCAAAGTGAACATGTACGCAAACGTAATAGGTGTTTTTAAGCGTGCGACAATGACCTACGGCCCCAAATATGCCCAATACAAAATACGACCTATCAAACCTCAAATTTTGTAATACCCCTAATTTTCAAACGGATAGTCTCGGTATTTTGTTTAATTGTTTTCTGTTCATTAATTGGTTTTTATTCATTAATTGTTTTGAATTATGTTTTCATATGTTATTTGATTTACTTGACTTATTTGTGTTACTTGAATTAATTAGTTAGTTTATGTGTTTTCTTTGGTTTAATTAATTATTTGAATTATTGTGATTATTTAAGTTAATTGTTTTAATTATTTATTTGGCTAAATCGTATGTTATTTGGTTTTTATTCATTAATTGTTTTGAATTATGTTTTCATATGTTATTTGATTTACTTGACTTATTTGTGTTACTTGAATTAATTAGTTAGTTTATGTGTTTTCTTTGGTTTAATTAATTATTTGAATTATTGTGATTATTTAAGTTAATTGTTTTAATTATTTATTTGGCTAAATCGTATGTTATTTTCTGTTTTACAGTTAACTTGGAATTTTTTTATTGTTTCTTTAATTGAATTAGTAACTTGGAATTTTTATTGTTGAATTAGTAATTACATGTTTTAATTTGTGCCTAGGTATAAAAGTGTGGTTAGGGTTTCAGTTCTGTCTAGGTTTAATTTAATGAGCCGACAGGGTTTAAAATAAAATAGGTTGTGTTTATGGGCCGCGTTTCAGACTTTAGGTATAA